TAAAATCCTCCTCGTCCGTCTGTCTTTGAGGACAGACACGGAGATTTGGGGTTATATGATCCAGCTGCAGGAGGAGGACCAGTAGTCGCCCCTCAAACACAGGAAATCCCCTTACTTCTGCTTCACAGCTCTGTTGTGGCTGCATGTCTGTGTGTACGTTTCTGCAGCACAGATCCTGTGCCAGAGTCGGACGGGGTTTATTCAGCAGGGGGGGGGTTACAGTACCGCAAGGCTAACCAGGCCGTGGACAGACCTCAATCCCCCGGGGACGCACCAAAGAAAAGTTAAACAAACACAACACAGCCTTTTTTCTCAGGACACATACGGACACTCCTATTGGCTGACCCACATGGCCACTCCCCGTCCTCCCCCGCTCGGCTCTTCTCTTTAGGGAAGATTTGGAGACTTGGCCTCTGATCTCTGACCCCTTTGAGAAAGCAGAAAGCTTTTTTAAGGAACCCGCCGAGAGACAAGGTTCCTCCGAGGAATGTCTTGATTTGGGTCACTTTTCTCTCTTCATTACTGTCCTCTCTGACTGCTTTATTGGCCTTTTAGCCTCTTTAGCAAGTGAGAAAGTGCAATCTTCCTTTCATCCTGTTGAATGGAAAGCTTGTCGAGTTTTGATTGAACACCCCAGCTTATTCAAAGGGTCACAAAAAGCCTCTCACGTATTTCATTGCTCTGAGAACCAGAAAAAAAAAAAGGAAATCCCAAAAATGATAGCATTGCAAGCTAATGGAAGGCTAGGCACAGGGTGCAAGAATTATAAAATCCTAACCAATCCAAAAAAACATGTTGCATCAGCTAATTGAAGAGGAACAGACACTTTTCTTACCAATGTAAAACATGCACACACTACAAGAAAAGAAATCTCTGCATATCACTCTCTACAAGATATTGTCAATAGTATAATGTGTGCAAGAGAAGGAAATGCAAAATCTAACTTGGTCTGGTGGCACAAGATGTCATGGATTACAGTTGTTTTTATAAATAAAGACTGATTTCTGAAGCGATGCTTTGCACTGAAACAGAAAACAATAACGAGATGTTGGGAAGATGTTGACAACATGTGTTATCTGTTCCCCAACAAGAACTAGAGTTGAGGATGGGGCTTTTTGATTCTTTCAACAGAAGTGTGCAAGCTAATAAATGATATTAGCTTCGGGGCTATCTGTTGCTGGGAAACAGCATCAGGCACTCTGTCTTCTTCTTTTAATTAATCTTTCAATCGTTGTTGTGATCCAGCTTGGACAGTACTGACCTAAAAACACCAGATTTTAAAATCCAGAAAGTCAAACATGTTTCAAGAGTTTTGCCCTCTGGAGGGTTAAGTCTGGATTTGGGAAGCTCTCATATAACTAGGCAACCTGGGCTGAACATCGATACTATAGTCAGGGGCCAAAACAAGGATCAATTAATCCATCAAACTGTAATAAAAGTTATCCCACGACAATTTCCAAAAAGAATAGGTCTAGACTGTACTTTTTTCTTGGAAGACCCATCATGAAGAATTTGGCAATAGTGGCAAGGAAAAACTTCCTTTGAACGGGCAGAAAACCAGAACAGAACCAGACTCCTTGGTGGGCAGCCACCCGTGTGACTGACAGGTCTGAGAAAGCGGGATAGAGGAGCGATGCAGAAGGATAACGTTTGCTCCCCTGATTTTCCTCAGGGACAAATCAAGCAAACCTCATGAAGAGTCCTTTTATTTTGAGCCTGTCCTGAGAGGCGAACTCAACCTTCGAGAGGAAGAGTAAAAAGTTTCCCTTTCAGTGTAATGATCCATTAGTTGTTGGCCTCAGTTTGGCACCACTTCCTCCCTGGAGAGGCTGCAGCAGTTCAGGTCTCCGTCTCCTGTGATTGGCCGTTAAGGGCTCGGCGGTTGTTAACCGGCGGGTTCGCTTTGCCAGCATGGAGGCTGTGGGCTGGGCCACTCAGCTTAGCCTGATCTCTAATTAGCACTGGCTTGTCAGCTAGTCAGGGTGGATCTGTCTGGGAAATTGCAGTCTTGTACACACAGACACACACACATACACATACACACAAACCCGAGCTGGGAAACACACAGAGGAAAAAGCAACAGTGGGGCGAGGATGGTCCTTTTCTGTCTGTGATCATGTGGCTTCGACTTGTGTTGCCGTTTGATTCTTGTGAGACTGAAGTGGCTTATTTAGGGCTCGGGGTGTGTTTTATGTGCGTCTCTGTGTGCTCTATTAGTGGCTCGGCTGCAGCAGTGAAGTGGTTAACTGTCCCAAAGGGGAGGCTCATGTTACCAGCAGCAGGGCAGGTCCTTCCCTCCTCTAACCCCCCAAGTTTCTCTCTCAGTTAGTCCAGAGAGAGACTAACAGTGCCTGAGGGATGAAGCATCAGGGAAGTGGGTGACAAAGGAGCTCCGTCTAGGAACTCTGCCAGGGCGAGAGAGAGAGAGAGAGAGAGAGAGAGAGAGAGGGAAAGCACAAAGAGAGAGAGAGGGAGAGTCAGACAGAGAGGGAGAGATTTCTGGCTCTGTGTGAACTCTCTCAGCGGCATGAAGTCATGAAGCTCTCTGTCCAGCTTGGCATTTTCCCGCAGCGCTCTGGTTCCCACGGCAACCCAGGCACCCTGAACAGGTAGATGCATGTGTGCGTGTGTGCGTGTGTGCGTGTGTGCGTGTGTGCGTGTGTGTGTGTGTGTGTGTGTGTGTGTGTGCAGAAGCTGGTCAGTAAAACTATGCCTATGTGTTCAGGACATGTTGAGCTCTTTACAGGTTTGTATGTTTCATCTGTTCATTTGTGTGTGTGTGTGTGTGTGTGTGTGTGTGTGTGTGTGTGTGTGTGTGTGTGTGTGTGTGTGTGTGTGTGTGTGTGTGTGTGTGTGTGTGTGTGTGTGTGTGTGTGTGTGTGTGTGTGTCTGGGACTTTCCCCTGTGGCTGTGAAGACGGGTTGAGACAGTTGTGGTCACTCTGAATCTCCCAGCACTTCTCTGTTCCTCCGCTCCACGGATGCTTTCAGCTCCTAAACTTGCTGTCTTCACTCGGCTGCTCTTTGAATGATTCTGTCAGTGAGTCTGAAAGGCTGTCAAGGTGTCCCTCTGTTTGCACGCCTGAGTGCATGTGTGTGTGTGTGTGTGTGTGTGTGTGTGTGTGTGTGTGTGTGTGTGTGTGTGTCAGGTTGTTGCCTTAAAAAATCTACAAGTGTACTTGACTTTAAACCTTCCATGAAGCAGCTGATAAGAGTTTGAATCAGGGACTCCAGGAGGCAAACAGTCATTGCTGTTGTTAGGTTTTATTGAAGCGATGATGATCATGTTGTGTTAAAGTGCTGCCGGGAAACATTGGAGATTTCCCACTTGGCTGTTAAACTGCTCCTGATTAATTTGCTTTATTTGCAACTTGAAAGATGACTGATTACATTTTGAAACTAAATTAACCCCTTTTGTATTGAGGCAAAATCTATTGGCTTTTGTGTTTCCACAAAGTACATTTTTGGTGACCAGGTATTGTATTGGCTCTTGTCTGGATGAAGGTAAACAGAAGACAAGATGCCAGTAACATGATGTTAGCAATGGGAGAATCATTTAATGGATTAATTCAGTGATGATTAGTTGATTTGCTGGAGATGATTTCAAAGTGATTTTTATAATAAATTTTCGTCATTAATCAACCAAAGTAATGAAACATTATTTGTTTGCATCAACTCAAACATGAGGATTAAGTCCCACTCTTTGTTATGTATTATTGTATCACTGAATGCTGCATATTTAGTATTTTTGATACATCATCTCAGGCTCTGGGGAATGTTATTCAGAATTTTATAGCCATAGTTATGCAACATCAACAGATTAGTCGACAGAGAAGGGATTATTTAATTGCAGCTTTTGAGTGTGAAGGAAAGCTGTTTGTTGTTTTTGTATGTAGAAGTGTTGCACGACAAAAAAAACCTTCTATACAGGAGGTTCGTTTGTGTCATTGGTTTGAACTTAAAAGACTTGAGAAGTTTTAGCTTTTTCATCACCAGCTCTCTTTGTGTGTGTGTGTGTGTTTGTGTGTGTGTTTGTGTGTGTGTGTGTGTGTGCTGGTGCATCCAAGCCTGGCCGTCACCATCAGCCACCCTCTGGTCCTCTTTCAAAGTGATGTTTGCCAACTGGCCAGGCTTCCTGTTCCCCTCAGACTCCCACACACACACACACACACACACACACACACACACACACACACACACACACACACACACACACACACACACACACACACACACACATATTTACAAATATCCAGCATTAACTCCCAGCCTGTTTGCTCTGCTCAGATGGGTCTGTTTGAACAGCTCACACACACACACACACACACACACACACACAGACACACACACATCATGATGTCACCCCTCCGATGAGCCTTTGTTCAGATGATAGACAGCCCCATTCAGCTTGTTTGTGTGTATGTGTGTGTGTATCCAAGCTGACGGCGGAGAACAGAGAGACAGAATCACCAGGCAGTCACAGATCCGGATCCTTTTTTTTTTTTTGTCATTAATGCACAATTTTATTTCCCTATAAAAAGATTTTATGACTGTGTTTGTGTTTCATACAGAGGAGATTTGAGAGAAATATGCATAGCCTACTGGCTGTTCTTGTAAAATTATGTAAGCTGGTTATTTTTTCCAAATTCACAGTTATCAATCATAACAACATAATCATTCTTAAACATCCGCAGTCATACTTGATTTTAGAAAAAGGGGAAACCTCCCTGCAGCTCCTGAAAGCATCTTTGTCTCTGCAGAGTTCAGCTGACTGATGTAGATCAGTGCTGTGTTCATGGTTTAAAAAGCATCTCACCGCTGTGTCTTCAGGCTATGTCGACCGTCTGCAGAGTGAATTAAATGTCTGTCTCTTCAAAGGGGAACCAAACTTGTTCCCAAAGAGCCTCTCGTGTGGACTCCCCCATCCTCTCCACCATGGAGGATTTATTGTTCCAACAGTACTGACTGTACTCTGTCTTCTTCTTCTTTGTGTGTTTACAGCTGGGATGACAGCAGCTCGGTGAGCAGTGGCATCAGTGACAACATCGACACCGATGACATCAACACCAGCTCCTCCATCTCCTCCTACGCCAACACGCCCGCTGCACAGCGCAAAGGCCTCAACGCACAGGTGAGTCTGAGTCTCAGAAAAAAAAAACAGTTGCTACGTATAGATTTTGAAAAAGCCAAACCCAGATAATTTGAATGTGATTGGGTTTATCCTTTGATTTGAAATGATGTAGTTTCAGAAATGTCTTGAGATTTGATGAAATTTCATCAGACCGTGCAAGTGGACACATTTCTCCTCTCTTCTGTCTGCAAACAGATATGACGATGGGATGTTTCAGGGGTCGTATTCCTTATTTAGAAGCAGTTCAGCATTTTTTTTAAGGTTGAAGCGAGCGCCTGATAACAAACAAAGTTCATTGTGAAGAAAGGCAGTCTAAACTGAAAGTCTGAGTCACTTTGATGCAGTGCAAAAATCTTTAGAGTCCAAACGCATAGACAGACACCCCTGTTAATAAAGGATTTTTACATTGCATCAGAGTGCGTGGGACTGTCAGTGTAGACTTCCTTTCTTCACAATGACCTCTGTTATCAGGACAGTCATTTACTTACAAACTATGGAAATCATTTTATTTAGGATGTGATTTAACATTTGTGTTATCAGCGTTTCCACAATCACTCAAACATGTTGCTTAACAAGCATCAGTGACTTTGATTTCGGGTAAATCTTGTGCAATGTGGTGGGAAACCGTTCATAGCGATCATTAGAATAAATATTGAGCAGTTTTACTCACTTCCTGAAAATCTTTGGATACAGTTTAGATACATAATGCTGTTAGACTCAGCTTCTGAAGCCCAATAGTCCCTTAACATCAGGTCAATATGAAGCAAAAGAAAGAACGCTTTACTATCTTAAAAAAAATCATTGCAGATCCCGTTGTTGTTGTCAGTAACTTTTCCACAGAGCTGTCAGGATGTTCAGTTTGAAAAGAAAAAGTTGCAGAAACAATTTTGCCAAAGCGTCAGCATTTCATTTGTAAATAAAAGTTTAAACGTATTTGTCGGATATGCAAAAAAATAATATCACTAATACCAGAACATGACAGAATAAATCACAACAACAAAAAGTGTGTGTGCATAAAACACCTTCAAATGTGTGTATTGCGTGCTGACGCTCCCATGTCGAAAAAGATGATGAAGGCAGCATGACACCCGTAAAAAAAAAAAATATAAACCAGCCTGATCTCATGTTGTTGAATAGTTGGAAGAAATCTAAACTTGGTTGCTGAAGGAGTGAACTCATTTATCCGTCGTCTTCCACTGGCCTCATTTCACTAAAACCCGCTGTGTCCCAGCATTCCTGTTCCTGCAGAGAAGAATGTGCGTCTGAGGGGGCACAGCTGTGAGCTCACACAGCTAAAGCCCATGTTGACTCTGGCTCCTAAACTATTAAACACTGATTAAGAGCCTCCACGGTTCAGCAGAGCGATCGCTGCGGTGATAACATCGTCGGCTGACTCGCGTGTACGTCTCACACACACAGATGTGGTCATCATGTGACGTGTGTCCATAACGGCTGCACAGGTCGATGTGCTGAGGATGAAACAAAGGAGTCTTTCTCTCTGTAGCGCGGCCGACACAGAGCAGGTTAATTGAGTCACCATCATCTGTCTCTGCTTATAACACACTTTGACTGGACTGGGTTTTTTAATCAGGTTTCTTCTAAAGGTCTGCTGGCAGAGCAGCTTGATGCATTTGTGACGTGTTGCCTTGGTAACTGCAGGATAAACATTAAAGCAGCCATTATCACTCGTGAAGCTGTAATTTCGTGTTAGAAAACTAGAGGCTATGGTTAAAGTAGCAACGGTATACTTTAATCCTCGTAAAGCTCTCAGGGTGATCAGTGTTTCCACTCTTTAACTTTACTCCAGAGTCATCGCAGGAGGGTGAAGGTTTGAGACTGAAGTGAGGGCTCACTAACTTGAGATATGACTCCTTCAAATTTAACCTGATTAAAGTCGCAGATGATCAGCAACAGGCGAGCTGCCTCAGTGCGTCTATGGAGCAGGGGTTCTCAAATGGTGGGTCAGGACCCAAAAGTGGCCCGCGGAGCTGTTTTCAGCGGGTTGTGAATTTGTGACTGGGGGGAAAAAATGGTGTCAAAAAGTCTGTGAAGCACTTTAAACATGTTTGCTATGTTCGGTCTCTTTGTTCTGTCACATTTGTACTGCCTGAGGTCCAAACTGGACAAGGTTTGACTGAATAAATCTGATTGGTTGGGGGGAAAAAAAAGAAGGAAATTTGGGTCAAGATTTCTCATTAAGGAGTTGGTGATGGGTCCTGAGGCTAGACCACTTAGAGAACGCCTGCTTTAGACGATCTATTAATCATTAATGAAAACATGTGTCTTTGTATTTTTGACTGTTGAGTGGACGAAAGAGGCAATTTAAAGAACATTTTGACGAGCATAAGTCTCACCTTTTTTTGAATTTTGTAGACTAAACAGTTCATGGAATAATCAAGGAATTAGTCATCAGATTCACCAATACAAAATGAGCAGTTATATGCAGCTCTAGTCCTATCCTTCTCTGACACACCTGGTATTAAGCTTCAATAGGAATTTATTAGAAACCAATTAAAAAAAGCATCTTCTTGACCTTTAAGTTGATAGTGAAGAATAATTTCAAAACTAAGGACTTGGAACTGGACTGGACTTAAAGCCAAGGTCTCTCTCTTAAAAAATGAGCTGCTCAGCAAACCCTAGATTAAGCAACATGATTTAAACATCTAAATAACTAGCTGAGGTCGTCTCGCTCCGACCCTGATGTGGTCAGACTGCTTCCTGACAAACTGCTCAGGTGTTGGTGGTGTGGCAGGATCACACAGCGTGATGGCTGTGGTCATAAAATGCAGAGCTCTTTAGAGGCACTTGGCAGCGTCTCATAAAAGACGCTTTCTTCAGCAGTCATAAATCTGTGAGTGTGTGTGTGTTCTCAGCCTGTGACGGATGCAGAGAAGCACTCGGCCTCCACTGCGGTGCACCAGGTCTGGTCAGGAGACGAGGTAAAGAAGCCAGACGGCGGGTCAGACAGCGGGGTCAGGATGGAGACAGGCTCCAAGTGGGGCCGCCGGAACCCCTCAGACATTTCTGATGAGTCCGACAAGGGCAGCTCGGGGAGGAAGACCCCCTCCGTGTCCCACACGGGCTCCTGGAGGAGAGGAATGAGCACTCAGGTGGGGGTGACTTCCCCCCGGACTAAAAGCACCAGTAGCACAGGCTCCACGAGCTCTGCCGGCCTGAAGACCCACAGTTCAGGTGAGATGTTTCATGCTGAATAATTTATGCAAACAAATTATTATCTTATGATACATTTAAATAAAAGGCAGATATTGCTTTTTGATTCAAGCTGTTACTGTGACATTTTGCTGTGTTTTTTTTTAAGTCCCTGAAAGACATTTCAGCTATTTCAAAGTGTGAATAAAAGCTGAAAAGTCTATTTCAGATATATTTCAAGTGTCCTTAGCTTTACACATGCTGGACATATTTATGTCATGAAATAGGAAGAGTTTGATCTTCATTTTTTTAATTTGGAACTTCAGTTCTCACATGATCATAGGCAGATTAGTAGATCACAGATCTCTGCACACACACATCGGTTTTGCTGTTATGAGTTGGTGCAGCATTTAGTTTCACAAAGGCCACATTAGGTAATTTAATTAGACAGTTAACGACTTAATGAAATTGTAACAAAAGTGAATAAGTGAAAGAAGCTTTCAGTTTTCTGAGGCAGAAGCTATTTAAGGATCCTGCCCGAGAAGTCGTCTGGTTAGGACATCCTGTGTGATTTATAGTGTGCTGTCATTTAATGATGTGGGCTGAAATGTTGCTCTTTTAGTGGCTGTGCTGCTATGACATAAACTATGTGAAGGTATTAAAGACATCTTCATCTTTTGAACACTTTAAGATAATGTCTGAAATTGGGCTGCGGTTTCTTCTGGCTTCTAAAACAACAGTCTTGAAACAGAAGCACCCACACTCCCCTCTGATGTCTCTTCCTTTGTGTCCTCCAGGTAAGACGGATGACGTCAAGGTCTCAGAAAAGGGTCGCCTCTCTCCTCGTCCTAACGGCCTGCACCGCTCGCCCTCAGACACAGGACGCAGCAGTGGCGACGAGGCAAAGAAACAATCGATCTCCTCCGGCCGCACGGCGAACACACACGCCCTCACGCACACCGTCTCAGACCCTCACTCCCAGACACACACGCTCGCGTCACGCACCCCGACCAGCACCTTTGGCTTCAAGAAGCAGGGCACTGGGATGGTTACCATGGTTACTGCGAGCGGTGCCACCATCACAAGTGGCTCTGCCACCCTGGGGAAGATGCCCAAATCTGGGGGACGCTCCCTGACAGGAGGGTTGAAGTCAGGTGGGCAGGACGGAGGGTCAGCGCTGGGTCACCATGACGACGGCTTCCTCCCCATGAGCGCCCGCTCCACTCTGCAGTACCGCAGCCTGCCAAGACCCAGCCGCTCGGGAGCAGCTGCTCGCAACGGAAACCGCTCCTCCACCAGCAGCATCGAGGCCGCCGTGCTGTCTGTCACGTCTCACGGCAAAAACTCACTCAGCATCACCAAGACAAATGGCTCCGGTGTTCTGCTGGCCAATCAGACGGATCGGGAGAAAGGCGTCTCGGAGATCGACAGCCTCAGGAGCGGAGTTGTGATGCAGGGCGGGGGAGCTGCGACTGTTCCTCTGACAGGGAGACAGCAGGTTTCTTCACCCACACTTCGCAGGTAAACACTCTCACAGAGCATCGTTTGTGTTGTCAGTAGTCCTGCAGACTCAGAGACGGCTAACTGATGAGTAACACTGAGGGCTGCCCTCCTGTATGGGCTTGAATTACCCACATATGGCACACACACATGAAAAAGCCAGTAATCATGCTGTGTTAGTAAAGGATAAAGAGTGGTGAGTAAGGATCACACGTGTGGGCTTGTTTAGCACACACACTCACACACACTTACACGGGCTCAGTGAGGTTAAATCAGGCCATTGTGCAAGGCAGGTCTTGAGCTCAGCTGATCAGCTGCCAAGCCTCAGCCTTGGCGGTGCATGGGGGGGTTGGGGGGTGGAGGGTGTGGTGTGGGGGTAACGGGAGCTGAGTCTTACCTCAGCTCTCTGCCCTCATTAATGTGAGGGAGTGATAACTCTTCAAAGAGGCTGTGTGCTGCGATTATCGCCCACCGCGGCTCCAGTCGTCACAGCCCGACCTGCCATTTAACTCTAACCCAGGATTAGCAGAGACGCAGGAGAGAGTGTGTGTGTGTGTGTGTGTGTGTGTGTGTGTGTGTGTGTGTGTGTGTTTGTTGGCCTTGAATCAAATCGGAGCACTGACTCTGCCTCTTTGTTCCCTCTTCTTTCTTCCTTGATGCAAAGAGAATAAAGAGAAATGCTGGTGGGTTGTATTTTGTCCTGTTAGCGGCAGGACCTCGAGGAGTGCAAACTCAGTCAGTCCACTTCTCTGTGCAACACTTTCATGCAGAAAAAAAATCCATGAATAATTACATGAAATGTGTTGTTTAATTAGCTGTTAATATGCACAGTGCCTGAAGGAGGTATGCTAATGATCACGCTAACCCCTTGACATTCGTTCTTGCACCAGCATCAGGGTTTAAATGTACATTTATGCTAAAAAAAAAAACAATTGCAGCCTGAGGATGTTTTAACCCCCGCAATGATTGTTTATTTAATCCAATTAAAAATAACAAGGTTTTTAAAGACATGATAATAATGTGTAGCATGCATGACAAAACTCTATTTGACCTCTTTCTCCTGAAATAAATTAAAACAATGCTTTTCTCTCTGAGGAAAGGATCTGTATTGCCTGACATTCACTCTTGTATAGTGCTCCCTTTATTAACTGTTCATGTGATTTGTTAAAATAACAAATCCTTCTCATAAGAATCAAAAGGATATTATCCCTGCCCTTTCCATGAGAACTTAAGCCGCGCTCCTCACCCTTTCCCCTTCCCTCCCCTCTCGATGATTTGCCACAGGTTATTCGGTGGGAAGCCCAGCAAACAGGCTCCGGTCACCACGGCAGAAAACATGAAGAACTCCACTGTTATCTCCAACCCCCACGCCACCATGAACCATGTGACCACGGTGCTGGAGTCTCCTGACGGGGGGCTGGGAGGAGGGGACGGCGAGACCAACAGCCTCCTGTTTGGAGGCAGACTGCAGGGATCAGGGATGGGGACGCTGGGCAGCGAGCAGGTGAGCAGAAACATGGAAATAGTGATGATAGCAGATTGTTCTGTCAGTCAACTCAGTTTGTAATTAAAGAGAGCTCAGATATCAGAGTCATCTGTGAACTCCTCCTGGAGGATTATTACCTCAGGATCTCCATGGTTACCATATAATCACTGTGTTTTTATTTATAATAGAGCTTCATTAACCTTCAAAATGAAATAACTTTTGGTTTAAATCACTGCTTTGTTTTCCTCTGTCACGGGATCAGCCTCTTATCCATTAGTTATGCTTCTATTCTTAGCTGTAAACGTTCTCCAACCTCCCTCTCTTCACAAAAAAAAAAGGGGGAAGCTCTACTTTGAGAAGCATTTGCGTCGTTTTCAGCCATGTTATAGTTATACTGAGTGACAATGTGATAAAGAATCTGTGAATCTGGCCCACCACTTGACTCTTTCTGGTTCATTTCCATGATTTAAAGTGTTGTCTTTGGCCTCAGCGTGCAATGGTTTACGACTTCAAATCTCCAAAGAGACAGAGAGCAGCTCGCTTGGTAGCAGAGTGGAGCTCGTAGCAGCAGTAAGAATGAAGCTAAGAGACTTTAGATATTGACTTCAAAAGGATGGAAATGTTTCTCAGTTCTCTGGATGTACTATGGATATACTCTTGGCTATAAAAGTTCTGACCAGTAACAAGTGTTGTCAGCTTTTGCTTAATGTTTTGATCCATTGCTCCATCATCTGCACTGTTCATGCTAATAGCATTAAGCTTAAAGCACCACTGTGCCTCAGCAATCTCAGAACATATCAGCCAGTAAACTTTTCTGTAGTTCATACCGGCAGCTTAGAGTCAAGAGTCTTAGAGTCTTGGAAGCCAATGAAGATTTTTTTAGATTAGGTGTAATGTGTTTCTTTGTCCCGGTACGGTGGCTGCTGAAGATGGAGTTGGTCTTGAGACACAGCATCTAAATAAGAGCGGATTGTTTGCTACACTTTAATGCAGAAATCTGTTTCAAAACATTAGTCAAAGCTTGAGTGTCATTAGATGATGCAGGGTTCAGGGATTGCATTATGGGGTGTTGTGTTCTGTCTCCTTTTGCTCACCGCTCAGACTGTTTCCTACATGAAGACAAAGCACACAGAAAAGCTAAAGGAAGATACTACACGTACTACAAAAAAATTCAAATGAACTTGAGTCAGTTTGCCAAGTCAGTGTGGTTCATTTGTGCTGTTGTGAAAGCTGTCAGTCAAATCCTGGTAGGGACCAAACATCTGTCCAGAGAGCGAGACTGCTTGAGAAGGTTGGTCTCAGTCCGCTTTTTTTTTTTCGGACTCTGAGGTTCATTTAAAGCAAGAACATGAACCGACCTCGATCCGACCCACCGCAAGAAGAAACCACCCTCTCTCTTCATCATTGTTGAACATGTGTTAAAGACCACAGACATGACCTGAGCGGAAAAAAGTTAGTGGATGAGGAGACCGGGGTCTTTCTCCTGAACTGTCTTAATAAGCACTTTCGGCCACTCCAGTACATCCACATTTTATTTTTGAGCTGTAGTTGTGCCTCGTTTTTAAACTGCATTGTTGCCTACTGTGATAATTGCAAACAATATAAAAACCGATGACCAGAGCCGACATTAATCCATGAAGTCGTCTGTCCATGTTGAAATTGAAAAGTGTCTCTGGAGCAGCCACTCAGGCAGGAGTCAACTAGTCTTTGTTTGTCAATCATTTCTGACCAATGAGAGAGCATTTTCCTCGCACATCACACATCTTGGTCGGCTTGTAAATGTTCCCGTGTGAACACAGACCAAGCTTGAGGGTTACAATGCAACAATGTAACAAACTGGTCCATGATTCAGACCAGAGCAAACAAAAACTATAGGTGTGGAAACGCCCTGAAGGTCAGTTCTGTAGGTACAGTTTCCCCGTTACATGCAGGATCTGTAAACAGAGATTAGAGCCTTTATAAGGCATGCATGGTTATAAAAGTCTTGTTATATGTTACTTCAGTTTATTTTACGGTCATCTTCCATAGAACTCTTCAGTAACCAGATTCTTATCATTTAACTTAGGGGCTGTTGTATAAGTTTCAGTTCAACTGTCAAACCAGAAAGTTGTGTTTGTCTTTGAGATTAGTGAATGAACCTTTGAGCTTCCAGATAATGAAGTTGTGTTTGTGGTAAAGATTTCCGAAGGTGTTTGCGATGACGAGGCTTCGGTGGAGACACAACGGATGATGTTGTTCTCGCATGACTAATGCCACCAACCTGTCCGACTCCTTCACCGACTAATGTTTGTTCAGGAGACGGACAGACGTGCAGACAGGGCTCTTGTTCGACTGACTGTAGGCTACACATTGCATCAGAGCAGAAAAAAGTGAGAGCGTGCCCAGACATTAACCCTCACATGATTCAGAAGAATTAGTCAGACTACTGCTTCATCATGCAGCGACACATAGGAGCATTGTTTTGAAGAAGCAGTCGCGTTTTTTGACAGACAGTGACGATGGGTTCAAAAGTTTAGTAGGTAGTTATCTCAAAGCATTTTAGGACCAAGACTGCTTGCCAATCTGTTCTTTCATCAGCAACTTTAGAGTCTCAAGGAGGAGGAAATTAATTAGAAATTAAATCACGATATCCAAGACATCAAAAACGTTTTATTTTCAATTGAATAAATATGAGAAAGCAAAAAGTTGTCACATTTCAGGGAACGTTTGGGGCCTTTTTGTCGGAAAAATGACTAGAGCGCGTGTCAGACGAGCTTTAACCAACATGACATCTTCCCTGACCCCCCCACAGGCCTCCAGTCCCGGCTCAGTCTACTCCTCCACCGGCCCTTCCAACAGCCTGACGTGGGGCACCACCTTCAGCAGCTCCTCCGCGCAGAGCAGAGAGAGTACACTGGGGGGGCACGGCGGGGCGGGCAGCATGGGATTCCCCTCAGTCAGCAGCATGCACACCAGCAGCGAGTCCATCGACATGAGCCTGGGCAGCGGCTGCCACGGGACCCACCGGGAAGACACCCTGTCTGCGCTCGGTCGCACCGGCAGCGTGAAGACCGGCATGTCTGAGAGGTGAGGACAAACACAACAATGAGAGAGTTCCATTATTTCCAAAAACACATTCTCATAAAAAGATGTGCAAACTGGTCTGCACTTTGCTGTTTGAATATCTTAGATCAAGTCCACACCTTGAATTGTTTCCATGTTACAGGTTTGCTCAGGGCATTATTTTGATCTTTTATTTCATTTTAGTCTTCACAACATAAAAACAGTAGTCAGAAATGTGCCCAGATCTACAAAATTTTCCTCTGCTCGAGCTGCAATCACCTGTGTCCTGCATTGTTGTGTTAGCAGGCTAATGTTAGCACGCTTTGGTTAACTTGTAGCTTCATATTGAACATAAATTGACACAGAATGACCGTGATCTAAAGACACTTCTGTGACATCCAAATAATCAGTGAGTAGGATATTTTTCTTTTCTCTAGTCCTTGACTAAAACAGCTTTTATACACAAGGCCGTCCCGTCCATATAAACATGATGTAAACACAGCTCTGACAACAACACAGCCAACAGGACTCACACTCCTCACTAGACAGTCATGACTCAGAGAGATATTTACAGAAGATATACTTCTGCTGTATTTATGTGTAAAATGTTGCAAATTCTTCCTTTAATCTTTCTGTGTCACATTTTGATTAAACCAACAGTTCAGTGTTAGATGAAACTTGATTTACTCCATTCAGACCTAACATCAGGGTTCTACTTGCACAATCATGCATCAGTTACCTAAAGTAAGTAGCTGGGAATATGTGAATAATTCAAAACAGCAAAAAAGGAGTACACTCAAACAGTAATAAAACTTCATGTGCACAACCGCAAAACGACAACAAGACAACAACAAAAAAGTCAGCACAATGAATGTCCTTTAAAGTTTGTATTATCTGGTTCGAGCAGCAGCCTTCAGATCAACAACGCAGCAAAGCCTTCGTCAGCGTTGAGCGGAAGCGTATTACACTGCTCACCATGTTTAAAGAAACTCCTTTCAAAGACTCCAGAGCGCAGGTGATGCACAAAGCCTCCGTCCTGGTGAGGCGTCGCTTCTCGTTTGCCGTTCTGTCCAAACCGGAGCGAAGGAATAAAATCCCCCGGCGTCCTCAGTCATTGTAGCAGATTCCACGCTGACAGGTCGACTGGGTAATGTGGCCGGAATGTCTCACAGTAAAACACAATAGCGTTTGGAGTCTTTTAAGCTTTGAGGCCATTACATCACCCGCTTCACTTATATTTCTCATCCACTTCAATAGAGAAGAATCTGGGAGTTGTATTTCTTTTTAGTTTTATTCTCTAAAACGTCTCTCTTTCTCTGTGTCTGTTGTGCGTTTTCCCTCCATCAGTCCCCTCTCCTCCCCCTCTGCTAGTCCTATATTCAGCCGAAACACGCTGCCTCGGAAGCAGGACAGGTAAATGCACCTGTGTGCAGTGTTAGGCTTTCTGATGAGACAGATGTGGAGGTGTCCTGTAAAACCACCACCTGCTGCCACACAGAGAGCTCCACACAAAAGGCACAGAGAGGAGCTCTGTGTTGTGCCTTAGAGTTTTTTTGTTTTTTTGTGTAGAAGTGTGTCGCTCTGTGTGGTAGTTTGTGGTTATTTTTAAGGACCTCTTGCTCCTGTGTGAATGGGAATATACGTGAGACAGTAAATGTGAGGTTGTCTGTGTGGATGTTGGCCCGCTTCAGTGTTTTTGTTTAGTGGTCTGCTGTAGTCTGTTTTGACTGTTTATATGCCGCCACCTTGTGGTTGAGTGTAAAAAGTGCAGATTGTACCCAAAGCTTGGATGAATAGGATGTTTGTGTTTGAATCTACACTGCAAAAATATCAATCTTTAGGAAGGTTTTACTATTGTTCAGTGGTAAAGCTTTCCTAATAAGTACTGAGTTCTTGTTTTGACCAAGAATTTAAATTTCCCGTACAATAAGACAAATTCAATACGTCAGTTGTTGATTTTCATTGGGTTTCCGTAATCTCTAATTTAAGGAAAATTTGACTATTTCTGATTACAAAGAGTTGCAAAAAATAAGAACTCAGCCCCCACAATAAGCCACAGAAATGTCACATTTTCAGATGTTGTCTTTCTTAGTTTGCTTCCTTCAGAGAAAATGATTACATCATACTGAGAGAGGCAGTTCGTTTCAGTTGCTTTCAGGTTAAAAACTGTATCAGGATTGAAGTCCAAGAATTACTTTTCTGGATCATTGACTGTATATAAAGATGGACAACATGTCGCCTACACCTCCTTCTGTTGTAACAAAGTGAAACAAAAATACCCCCCAAGGTGCTTACTCATTGCACATTTTTCAGCCAGAGCTTATGCTGTAAGGATCGGCACACACATTTAACTCACCAAAACAAAACAAAAACCCCGGCAGAGAGCCATCCTGGTTGGCACAGTCGGCAAGAACAGCTTCTTGTGTTGGTTTGAAAGAAGCAGACGTTCACTGACTTCAGTGTCTTTGTTTGTCAATTTTTCCTGTCACTGTCCCTTCTTTACTTTTCTAATCCAGTGCACACATCAGTCAATGATGTTGTTAAACCCCTTATTTTATAGCATCAACTAACTGATTAAGGTATGGTATGGAAACTTTATTTGTACCTTTGGTTTAAAGTGTGAGTCTGCGTCCTTTTACACACAAACAACAGGACAGGACAAAACATGATGACGTGACTCTTCAGTGCTCAATACTAAAGAGAAAAGAGAGCAGTAAAACAAGATAAAGTAACCCATCAGTGAGAATAAAACAAGATAAAACTAAAATAAGAAGAAGACTATACCGTCAATTAAGTAAATGTAAGCGCAAGATAAAAATACGACAATACCACCAATCAGTAAAACATGAAACAAACGAGAGACACTGACAAAAGGACGCTGAACTCTCAGTGCAGCGTGCGTCTTCCCCTCAAGCGCTCAATCAGACTCAACTTCTTTCTCGGGCATCATTAATTGAACGCTGACATAAATCAGCATATTAAGAATGAACTATGTTAGAGAGAAATGCATTTAATATGTAACTTGTTTTTTTGTAGTTTTTCCCATGTCTAATCTGTTAAGGAGGAGGAGGACAGACGGGGGAGCTCTGAATGTTTCGGGGGGGGGGGGGGGGGGGCGTCATGTTGTGCAACTTTGTATTCACTCAATGGGCAGGATATGGATTTATTTTGCAGTGTGTAAGTTAGTCTGCAGTAGTGTCGGTAAGAAGGTTTAAATTAGCGATGATGAGGTAGCCTGTGAGAGATGCAGCCATGTGTTTCTTTGCTTCCTTTGCTTTCCACCTCTGAAGTGTTTCTCTCCCACAGCGGGACTCACTGTGGTAGAAACACTCTGCCTAAGAAAGGACTCAGGTACTGACCTCACTCCCGCTGGACTCTGTTGAGCTTCTGCACTCTTGATTCACTACAAATTGTCTTTCTGTCTGTCTGTCTTTCTTTTCTTTTTTTAATCTGCGTTTACATTCACTACTCGAGGCTTGCGCTCACGCTTTTTAAAATGTTATTTGCGTTTGAAGTTTTTTATGTTTGGCACTTGGCACATGTTGTTGTTGTTGTTGTTGTTGTGCTTCTGTGAGGAGGCTTGCCACTCTGTCGTCGTACAGACTGTCTTGCACTGTTGCAGGCTTAATTTGGGTTTTTTTTTTCTTTGGCTTCTTTTCTGCTTTTTTTCACCAGTTTGATTTAAATGTTCTCAGCTGAGAATCAGTCTTGTCCACGCTGTTGTAATTTGTTTCATGATTTTACATCTGGGCTCGACTAATCTGGCTGCTTCAGAGTTTTAAAAAAATCCACCTCATTGATTGTAAAAAAGTTTTTAAAAATCTGAATCCGATCAAGTAGTCCACATAATCCATTCTCTTCTGTTCTGTTTCCTCACTTCCACCTTAACCATTTAATTTGACTTCCTGTAGGTACGGGCCGTCCCCTCAGCTGCGGAGCCACGAGGAGGCACGTGATTGGCTGCGCTCCCACTCCACCAGCGGGCTCCAGGACTCGGCCAGTAACTCCCCGTTCTCCCCCGGCTCCAGCCTCACCTCCCCATCCGGCACCCGCTTCAACTTCGGACAGCTCGGTACGCGTCATGCATCAGCAGTCAACAACAAACACAGAACTCTTAACTTCAGCACATTAAACCGTCAAGCTATAAACACAAGATTGATTTTTAAAGTGAGAGGAAGTGTACAATCATGAGGTAGAGATAGCATTTCTACACTTCTAACGAAGGTGTCTTGTAGTTTTTGGTGCGTAACTACACATAAACAATAAGGAAACCTCATTAAACTAAAACATAATGAAAATGTAGCAGAAGATTTTTTTCAAATTGTATTGCTAGATTCATTTAAAATAAGAGAATATATATAAACGTAACCAAAACCATTAAAAAGCAATAAAGATGTTTGACGGATTCTGGAAAATCTGATGTCCATTCTGAAAGTATTTAAACACTTTATAGGAAAAACAAGAAACGTAAGAGTAATACAGCGGGAATACTGAAATCTTTACATCACTTTTTTCACTTTCACAGCTTCCAGCCCGACCTCAGCGGCTCAGATCAACCTCGCCAGCATGCGCAACAACAGCCTGACCAATCAGGACGCCTCCTTTGACCCGTGCGGCGACAACCGCCTGAGAAACTCGTGCATGTCACTCGACGAGAAGACGCGCACCATGAGCAGGTCGGGCTCCTTCAGGGACGGCTTCGAGGAAGGTAAGAGGAGATGAGAGAAAGGATGGATGTTGAATATTCAGTGACCCTGTTCTACCTCATGGTAGATTTGAGGGAAATCTGTAGTGAGGTGTAATCCTATTCCAAGACCTGCATGCCTCCATCCTTCTATGACTCTGGCCCCCCCCACCCTCCTCTCTAGTTCCACACCTCCGTGCCAGAAGAATTATTATTCCATTTGCTTAGCGGACATTTGGAGGGATTACACCCGCTCCTCTAAGAAAAGCCCTCAATCCCCATAGAACTCCATAATCAGCTTTGGTGCGCCTTTGTTTTTTCATAAGCTTGTTTATGTGGAAAAGTATCCAGCGGGGCTTTTCCCACCAGCAGGCAGACTCCCCGCTCAGGCGACTTTACTTCGATGGAGTCTTCTCGATCCTCAGAGCCATAGAAACACAGCACTTTGAATTACAGGCGGAAAAACAAAAGAAAAAACTGGGAGAGAGGCAAGCTGAAGAATGTGTCACAAAGGCTCCTCCTCATGGAGAATTCCATCTTAAACACTTAAATGTACTAAGCCAAAACAACAAATTCATCTTTTTAACATATTGAAGTACACAAAAATCAATATTTCATGGTTCTCAGCTTTTTGAATCAACAGAAAATGTCGACGTTATTTCTTAAATGTAGGTCTTCTCTCAGAGTGTAAACTCAGATTTGTATCCTGCAGAGTGAAGGGGATGTGGATGAATATAGAGGACAGAGAGGTGGAGAGCAAACTCAGTGACACTGGAGCTGGATTTGTAGTTGTGCCTCGGGGAATCAGCTGTTCCTTAAGAAAGATGGAAAATCCAGACTTTCTGAATTTCAAGCATTATTATCAAAAACACACTCTGAAATTCTACTCAGCCTGACCTGATGTGCCGACGATGCTGTCAATCAACATTTGCCCTATTATGATTGTCATCATTTCAAGTCGGCAGCCCGGGTTCAAGTCCGACCTGTTGCTCCTTTCTCTCTCATCCCCTTTTTTTCTGCTATATCCACTGTCCTATCAAATAAAGGCAACAACCAAAAAATACATCTAAAATTGGACACAGCTGTCAACCATGAAACAAACAGCCTACCTCCAAAATGATTTGCTTCATGCAAAATGCCCGTTAGGTTTTTCTCCCGTTGGGAAGCTGGGGTACAAACGCACTGGTTTTGCACACGTAATGAATGTAAATAACACAGGCACAACTCTGTGATTATTTCACCCCCCCAGTAGCATTTCTGTCTCGCTCTTCTTCCAACTCCATGACTCTGTCTTCCCTTTAAGGAGAAGGAGATAATTACAGGGATCACAGTGAGAGGCGTGAGAGAGAAGTGATGACATACAAGAATCCTCCAGCACTACTTTCTCTCTTCTTGTGTGTGTGTGTGTGTGTGTGTGTGTGTGTGTGTTGGCTCCCAGCATGTAGGTCTGTGAGCACATGCGGTTTGTGTGTATGTTGCTGAGGTGTAGAGTTACCCGACCGTTGGTTGATTGACAGGACAAAAGTCACATCATCCACCCAACACTTTGTCCTCAGTGAGAGCCACACCGCGACACTCTTGTCACCTCATCCTCTGCCCTCAAACCCTCCGACTCACCTTCATGCGTGCTCACCTTCTTTTTATGTCCATAGAAACCACATATGGACTAAATCTCTTAGACACGAATGGTCAGAAGTATAAACCAGGATCAACGCTGTTCCTAATGTGTAATACTTTTTCTGACTTTATTCGATAATGAGTGTAGATTCTTCAAAGGTTAAAGCATAAAAACAGAAAATATTTGTGTTAAGATTGTCTTAAAGGAAGAATGTGCAACATTTTACACACAAATAAAGCAGAAATCAAACATATCCTCTGAAATAATAATATCTCACAACATTATAAAGAAATATGTTGCATCCTCGCACATGAAGAAGCAATCCTTAAAAAAAAATTCAAAATGTACCAGCCAATTAAAAAACATTTTTTATCAACCTTAGTGCTGCAACTATAACGGTTATTTTCACGATGGATTGAGCTCCAGATAATTATCTTCATGCAGCCTTTCGTTTCTTACCTTAATCTGAAAAATTGTCTGTTTCTACATTTTTAAAACAACAGGACATATTCGAAAGCCTTTTGTTTGCCCAACAGTCTAAAAAACCTTGACATATCCATAATACCGCCAATTATTATTTTGACAGGCAGCAAGCATCACACAGGAGAAGTAGGAATCATGTGAAGCTTAGTAATGAAAGAAAATAAGAATAAAATCTTTAAATAAGTCATTTATTTTCTGTCAACTGGCTGATGGTTGAAAGAAGTGTTGCAGCTGTAGTCGATGCTTTTTCTCAAATAGTGACAGAATCCTGCACAGACGTATTGATGAGATCTGAACCAGACAGTAAATATTAATCAATAGTCTCCCTTTCATGTGTCTCCCATCACACCCTGATGTCTAGACTAAATTTAGATAAAAACTGAGTATTCGATAAACTAACGTCTGCTCCCTGTGAGGTGCATGAATGAGCACAGCCCGCTCTGTGTGGTTTTATGACATCACCGTGCTGATCTGCTCTTAGTAAGGAAAGGGAACAGAGGACTGTGTGTCCTCGGCCTCTGATGTGTGATTAGTGGCTGAGTCATTACCACAGCAATGCTCCGGCTGGTATTAGTTGCGACACAGCCCAAACGGTAACATGCATGCAGGAGTTTTATCTTTATGACCGCCAAGAGCTGCTCGAAGTGGAAACACTGGGAGGTGACTGTGTCGAGGAGGCCGGGTTGGAGCAGGGTGGGTGGTTTGTGGGAGGGGCCTATGGGTGGGACTGTTGATAATCAGAGTTGTGTGTTAATGTACTTTCTAATCCCCACTTTCACTTGTTGTTTTTGTCTCTTTAGTTCACGGATCATCTCTGTCTCTGGTCTCCAGCACGTCTTCCATTTACTCCACTGTAAGTACACAAAACCTTAAGAGCTTGAACAGGGCTGGATATGATGTGCATTCTATTCTAATCCTATGATAAAGAAGCTTTTTTTCCCCTTCATTACATTTGGGTACCTTATTCCTCCTGCCTTTACACATTCTCCTCACCAGAGGGCGAAAGAAAAATCCACTTTATACCCTTAAAGGAACCTCTGATGAGTTTTCAACTGTTTATATGATAGACTAAAATTAATATTGATGCCTCTTTATGACACACAAAATCAAAGCACACCACCAGGGACAAGCCTGACTATTTATATGTAGTAAGTCTTTATGATGGTCACTCCTGTCAGAGGGCAGGTGTCAGACAAGACATTATAGGATATAGCAGGCTGAAGAAACATTTTTCATTCTCAATTTTTAGAGAGATTTAGAAATTACTCAACAGGAAACAGTCCTGACACATGGTTGGCATAGAAACAGGAGAAACTAGTTCCTTCTTTTGTCTGTGGAGTAAGGACAGATCATATAGAGAGCTTCAGCTGGCAAATCTGCTGTTATACATTTACCCTCTAATCCATTGAGATGTCTCGACTCTCTGTGAGACAAAAACGTCGGGCTGTAGTCTTACACTTAAACCTGGGGACAGCCCACAGTAAGCCAATCAGAGCCCAGTCCTTTCATGCATGGCTCCTCCTCCTCCTCCTCCTCCCTGTGTGGGCGTGTTTACTCACCTGGGCAGGTGTAGCGGAGAAACTTCTCAAGAAATCAGATTGCTGCTCGGCACTGGCTGGTGCTGCAGAGCTGAGGGAGAGAGAGAGAGAGAGAGAGAGAGTCACAGGTTTGGAAATCAGAGCAGGGGAGAGAGAGAGAGAGAGAGAGAGTGGAGGCAAAATGATGGCGACTTTATCCCTGACGAGCACCGTCACATCCTGGCAACAAACGGTAGGAATAAAGAGGAACGTTTTAGAGTGGAGGATTGCTTTATTGTTTTTGCTCTTTCGGAATTAAATACAGGTGTAAAAATGGTGAAACAGAACATCCAGTCACAGATATTGTGTCTGTATCTGATTCTTTATCAACGTAGAGCCGACTGATTTATTAATCCCAGGGCAGCACCATGAAAAACACTTTTTTCCTGCAGACAATTTCCACTGAGGACTTCCTTTCAATCTTCATTTTGTCTTTATTTTTCAGTGTTTTCACACCAAAAAAGCCTCTTAACTGTATTACTGCCATGATGTGAATTGCTGATGGGATTGCATCAGAGGGAGATCTCTCTCTGTTTTGTCTACGTCTCTTGACAAACAGACTTTTCTCTGGTTGTGTGTCGAGGATCAGCTGGTTACGTATGTGTGTGTGTGTGTGTGTGTGTGTGTGTGTGTGTGTTTGATTGACAGCTATGTTGTGGTTGTGCAGACAATGTGTAGACAGATGCCACTTTGTAAAAACATCCACTTACCATACCGGGGACACATGCTTGCACACTTCGGTACAGTAGTCGCGCAGACACAAGAGGCTGTTGAAACCTGTTTAAGTGCTCAGCAGTGAGGAGGCGGAGCGGCATGAACAAATCATTAATTATCAGCTGCTCTGCTTTGCTGCTTCTGTCACACGCAGCACCCACTGTGTTCACTGTTCATGCATCCCTCAGTTGTTCGTGAAAATGTTGAGAAACTTTGAATCTGTGACACAAGGCAAACAAATGTGTTGGAATAATATTTCAACGTAGAAGTTTTGCAAATAATTTATTCTGCTGATAAGAAGCACAACCAAAAACAAAGTGTCTTTGGCAAGTTTACTAAAAAAAAAACAATCTAGTGTAGCCTTTAAAATGTGCATCTCTTGGGAAGATATCACTTCAGTTTGGGAACATTTTGAGTATTTTGTTGCTCAGCATTCAGATTCATTTCTTCAGTAGAGCTGCTTAGCATGCTAACTGCAAGAACAGAATGGGAAGAATTATGTTTTCTCTTTTGTTAAAGTCTCAGAGCGACTAAACACAACTTTTTTTTGTGTGCAAAATAATCAGTTCAACTCAAACAACTTGATGAACCTCTCTTGGGGTAATTGGTTTGGAGAAGCTTGCACATACATACATAAATAAAACACACTGAGGTGCAGATAACAACAGTAAACATTGTCTTGTTACAAAACTGCCACTGGATGGCGACCGTGCAAGACATTTTTAAAAATTGTGGTCATTAAAGATTAAAACCTTCATCCAGTTTAAACTAACAAGTGAGCCAGAACAGTGGCTGAAAATATAAATTAACCTTTAGGTTGACCATTTGTTACAAACACATCTGCACACCAGTCAAAGAAAAACATTTCCAGGTGCAGCTTGTTTACATGTAAATGTGGGTGTTGCATGTTTCACTGTTTTGCTCAACAGCGGCAGTAACGGCTGGGTGTGTTGTGTTCGTGCAAGAGTATGTTTTGCCCGCTCTCTCTCTCTTTCTCTCTCTCTCTCTCTCTCTCTCTGTATGTGTTTTCCTACCTGTCTTTTCTTACTATTGTTCAGTGTGCAGCCTATAGAGACAATGGACTCTCTCTCTCACACACACACACACACACATGGGTACCTCAGTGAAATGCCTTCAGGAGGATAGCTCTGCTTTCAGACAATCTCCTGCACAGTTTATAAAGCTTTTTTCTCTGTGGAGCTAATAAATCAAACAGGAGTCATGTGCTTGAAGCGTGATGTGACCTCAGGCAGCTTGATCTGCTCTTCTTTTTCATTATCAGAGTACTTCCTCTAATGATTTTTTTTTTTTTCTTCTTCTGATGTTTGTTTTTTACAGAACGAGGAGAAGTCGCAGTCGGAGGTAAGAATCGGCCCGCCCACATCCCTTCTTTCCTGTGTGTTTCTCTCCGCTCTTTAATTTTCTATGTGCTGTAGCTGGACTTGTTGGAACACGGGGGGCGTTTTCACAGTTGTGTCTGGTTACACGTGTAACTGTATTGTGCGTGACCCTGTAGCGGGCTCTTGTTCCTGTCTGAACACCTGCGTACACCTGTATGTGCTCTTTTATGCCCCCGCTGCTTTTCATCTCCTAACCTCGACATATCAGAGCTCCAATCTGGGAGACTCCCTCATTTGTTACCACCGCTTCTTTTTTTTTTTTTTCCCATTGTGCATGTGCATATACGTATGTGTGGTTACAGCATGCTTTACAGAGCAGGTATGTATGCTTCAGATCTGGAGCTTTTTTGATGACATGCACTTTAATGTCCTTAGATCCGCAAGCTGCGCAGGGAGCTGGACGCTTCCCAGGAAAAGGTTTCCGCCCTGACGACACAACTGAGCGCCAATGTAAGCCATCAAGCCTGCAAACACACAACACACACACACACACACACACACACACACACACACACACACACACACACACACACACATTCCTGAAGAAGCTCATTTGTTACTGTCATGTATGAAATGTTTATCGTGCCACTAAAGTAATCCATAATAGACTCAAGGAAAAACATTTTCTTTATAAGCAACAAAAAGCTTTTAAACTTCTCCCTGAATAATTCTCTTACATTTTTTGAGTTAAGTATTATTTATCCAATGAGTAAAAGGATGACCTTTACAAAGGTGGTTATATATATACCAAAACAATCCCATTAGTTTTTCTATATACTACTACTACTACATACACTGTATTTATTATCTCTCCATCTGAAAATATAACATAAGAATACATTTTAAGTGAACAAATGAACAAGAATGCATCTACTTAGCAAGAGTAGTGTGCAGGATTCTTTTCTTTTGAAGTCATAGTTTGTCGCCCTACGCATCTACTTTTTGAGATAGTTGGATGTGCGAACGCCTCCTTAAAAAAATAACATTTTTAATTCAAACTCACAACAAAGTACATGTAACACCGATTGAAATGCTATCGGTATCGCAGCTATTTTTAAATATTTACTAAAAATGATCTCATTGATGGAACTAAATAAAAGTTTTCACTGCCTAAGGGAATCAAACATGTGTCATATAGTTTGTCATACATATCCAGGACTTCATTCAGTAGTGGTCGAGACATTCCACTCAAAACTAAAAATGTTGAACTCATAAAGTGTCAGAAGAAAGTCAGGGGGATTATGAAGTCAGTGGGCGTCATTGTTTGCAGAAAATGAATGCTGAAAACTTGTTTTTGAGTTATTTCAGTCGGGATAAAAGTGTTGGACTGACAGACCTATAGTGTCATAAAATGAAGTGCAAAGACAATCCCAATAATAGCAATGTGTTTTTACAGGCTGATCTCTTGGAAGTGCATTCTACAATTTAAGACATTATTGACTTTTAGTATTAACTAAATGGATAATTGCAGAAAAGCATGATGCCGCTATAAGATTAGAATGTATGTTGCATGGCAGAAAGACTCAACAAAAGAAAGATGTGAAATCTGGCACTCGTCTCTTCCTCAAGCACCCAAACACACGCAAGAACCGTTCGTGATATTCATCAAATAGTGAGCAGATAACTCCCGCAGAGCACTTTTCCCTCACAGAGGGTGTAATTTCACATCTGGCAGAGCCATCAGAAAGTCAGGTTAAGCGTCTGCAGACACGAACCTCTCTGCCACCCTGCCTCCTGATGTTGCACAAGTCTTGCCACGCTCGGCTTGTAATCTTGCTGCCTGAGTCAGAGCGCGTTGCCGGTTCAGCCGCGGATTAGAGATATGGAAGGAAGGCAAAGGGTATTAGATTACAGCGAGGAGTCAAGTCTCAGCACACAGACTGTCCCTGATGTGGACTGATAGATTTACAGCTGATGACGCCTCGATACAAGAAGGTGCGGTGCGACTGTTGAAAGATGAACACAGACAGAGGGCAGACAGAGGAGCTGGTAGTGGAGGGGGGTCATGAAGGTGGGATTGAATGGAGTGTGGGGGGGGGGGACGGGCTTTGCTGAAATATTTAATTACAAGCATTAAACCCGTGATGAATTATCTGAGCACACCTTGAAGCGCCCCGAGGCAGGAACTCTTAAGAACGTCACGACTGGAGTCACATGTCCGTCAACACATTACTCAACCGTCACTATCACTTTTTTTCTGCAGGCATTTGTAATGTTTAAACCCTGACACAATACCGCCATGGATGACACTTGCTCAACTGGTGTGCCTCAACATGCACAATCAGCAAAAAGTACAAGGCTTTCCAATCCTTTAAAAGTGGTTATTTCATGCGTACTTAACCCTTTAAAATATTACTTTTACTTTTAGATATGTGAGGCAAATCTTGCTCTGAATTTTTCACTCTATAAGAAAACTCTATACTTCATTCTTTCATTACATGTCATTTATAACACAGACTTCTTAATTCTCCACCAGCAGAATGAATATGCAAAACCAGAAAAAGCAATTGACCCCTAATAACATGAAGCTTATTGACACATTAACTTTTAGCGTCTCATTATCTTCTTAGCAAAACATCCCTTAACTGCTGCAGCCAGACCAGGTATTAACCAGGTCCTCTTAAAGGTCATAACTCTCCCATTCTGTTTTCTTTACACTGGCTTCAAATACATTTTAGATCTGAATCCAAGATCCTTGTTCTTACTCTGAAAGCCCTGCATGGCCAGGCACCGGCCTACCTAACAGAACTTCTACGGCCTTTTACACTCCCTGCAGATCTCTTAGGTCCCCTGATCAGTGTCTGTTGGTGGTTCCACCCTTTCAGACTTTAGACCAAGGGAGACTGTGCTTTTGGGGTCATACTGTAGCTCCATCAATTTTAGAATGCTCTGCCTTTGGGTCCAAGATTTGTGGACGCTGTTGCATCTTAAAAAAAGCAACTTAAGACCTTTTTCTTGAGACTTGCTTTTGCGTCATCTGTTTTGTGTATTGTTGGTGTTTCTGTTTTTATCCATTTTAAGAGCACTTTGTGGCTCTCTGTTCTTTAAAGGTGCTATAAGCAAAGTTTTTATTAATATCTTTTTATAGGCGAAATATTGGAATTAAGTCAAGGTGGGCTTTCTTAAAAACTGCTGACATGGCAGATTTCTATTACATTAAGATCACAGATGACCTCAAAAAAGATTACAAATAACCAAACGTACCCGGTCAAGTGCCCACATGTTCCTTTGAAATCTGCTTGTATTGATTGCTTGAACCATCCTGTCTCCGTTTAAAGCGTCTCATGCTGTTGTCACTTTGTCCAAAACCATCTTAGAACAATCCGTTCACTCTGCCAGCTCTGAAATCCAAGAGCCTAAAAAAAAAAAAAAAAAAAACTGAAATCAAAAGACGATTACCTGAAGATGACTCCGCTCTTCCGTCATTAAAGTCTTTGGCCTCAGCAGTAATGAGTGATTATAGCTCAGAGGAGTGTTTTTGGTAGTGATGATGTAACCGTTTGGCTTCAGTGCTGTGTTTGGAGTGTGGGAAACCAGTCCACCTCAACCTGACCTTCGGGGGAAAAAGCATTTGTTACAGGATGCTCTTATTTCACATGAGAGTTTGTATGTGGTTTTATTTTTTAATTTTGCTACCAAGATTATTGGACTGATGTCATATTTGGGGTTTTAGCCCGAGGTTGCAGCGGTAAAGCAGAAAGCTCTAACTTTTTCTAAGTAGGTATTTAAGGATCAGCATGAACTCATCTCATCAAAGTCTTTGTTAGTTATGACATCCTAAAGGAGAAGTCTTCATATCTCTCAGGGTCGCAAATGTAATGAAGGTTTCACTCCTCTCAGTATGGATACAACTTTAGGAGAGTTTTATGAGAAAACCTTTTTATTTGCAGAAGGACACTTCTTTGAGTTTCTCCCTCTTTCATCTCCGTGTTTCATTTCATTTCATTTTCAAACCTTTATTTATTTATTCTAGAAAGGACACTGAGGTTTCCCTCATTTCCAATGCTGTCTAGATTACAAGCACAAACAAAGCAAAACACAACAAACGCTCAGAATCAGTGACAAAAACCCCACTGTGATCCATTTAAAAACAGTGGCTAGAAATCCATTTCCTAAACTCTGGAAGAGGGAAGAACTCTGATCCTTAGAGTTTGCTTGAGGGCGTTCCAAGAGTTTGGGGCATCAAAAGAAAATGCTGATTTACCGAGTTCAGTAAAAGATCGAGGGACTTTAAGAACGAGCCAATCAGAAGAACGGGTCATGTAGGTGTCCAATCATTATCATGGAGTTTGACTTTTCTCTTTTCAGTGTAGCAAGATATCTGAAGGAGTAAAAGGTGAAACAAATAAATGAATGAGAAACAAAACCATCTCAGGTGTCTTTGGCTTGGTGGTGGTGGTGGCGTAACATGTTGGTGTGTTTCTCCTGCAGGCTCACCTGGTGGCAGCGTTTGAACAGAGTCTGGGCAACATGACCATCAGACTGAAGAGTCTCACCTTGACGGCAGAGCAGAAGGTGAAGAACAGCTCCTCGTGTTTCTTTGAACAGATTGTAAAAGTTTACTCATAGAAGACGTGCAAAGACTTGCTCTGGGTTAGATCTCTCTCTCTCTCTCTCTCTCTCTCTGCAGGACTCGGAGCTGAATGAGTTGAGGAAGACTATCGAGCTGCTGAAGAAGCAGAACGCTGTTGCTCAGGCTGCCATCAACGGCGTCATCAACACACCTGAGCTCACGCATAAAGGGGACAGGACAGGTACACACAAACTGCTGCTACTCTAACAAGCCAGATTTCAAGATCAGTTATTTGTTTTTACCAGATGCATTTCAAAGGGTTTGTTTCAATAACACACAATCCATCCATCATCTCTACCGCTTTCCCTGTTCTTTGTCGGGGTGGGAGGGCTGGAGCCGATCCCAGCTGTCATTGGGCAGAAGACTAATTCATGATAAAATCACGTATTTCCTGTCTCTCCTCAGCCGGCAGTAACGGCAGTCCTCAGCAGCATCATCAGCAGCCTGACCTGCGCATCAGGCGGCAGCACTCGTCCGACAGCGTCAGCAGCATCACCAGCGCCACCAGCCACTCCAGTGTGGGCTCCAACATGGACGCCGACGCTAAAAACAAGAAGAAGAACAAGAAGAACTGGGTAAGACGCTTGCATATATAAAAACTATTTCATAACCAGATGATTTCAATGAGTGATGCGTTCCAAACAAACTCTCGTTGTCTTCAATGTTTGTGATGGTGTCATATCTTTGGGTTTCTCCCTTCTTTAGGCGTCTTTCTCTGGGGAAAAGGTGAACACAGTTAGGATTCCCATAGACTCAGACCGGTTTAATACCAAGTCATGATCGATTTGATGATTTGCAGTCAAAAGAAATCAGACAATGTGGAGTTTCAAATTTGAACTAAAACGGGTTAAAGACGTCTTTTGTTGTTTTCTTGTCCTGCAAATGACCAAATCAAAACATACATGCTAGTATCTAGTCCTGTCGTCAGCTCATAGGTAGTTTGAAAGTGTCGATCATACATCAGAACATCTCTCATACGTCTACAACTAGAAGAACGTTAACTTCTTGTTTCCTGTGATATTTGCTGAAAGGCTTTTTTGTGCACCGGAGGAGGTCAAGTCAGGGACGGCGAAGTACGAACGTTTGTATCCTCTCTTGTCGTTCTGTAAACTGAAACCATGTTGTGTTAGCTGCCTTGTGGTTGCCAGAACCCGATCCTGATGTTGAGTTTTAGGATGAGCGGTGTCGTGCTTTGTGTTATCTGTTAAAAGACATGAGCTCGTGTAGAGTTTTCTTGCTTCATGTCGCAGTGATAACAAACGATCCTCCCGTGTGTGTGTGTGTGTGTGTGTGTGTGTGTGTGTGTGTGTGTGTGTGTGTGTGTGTGTGTGTGTGTGTGTGTGTGCTTCCAGCTGTCAGAGTTTGAGTAGATGAGACCCCACAGGAGGCTCCTCCATGCAGGTGCTCATGTACTCTGTGTGTGTGTGTGTGTGTGTGTGTGTGTGTGTGTGTGTGTGTGTGTGTGTGTGTGTGTGTGTGTGTGTGTGTGTGTGTGTGTGTGTGTGTGTGTGTGTGTGTGTGTGTGTGTGTGTGTGTGTTCAAAAGCTCATAATGGATCATCAAAGACATCCTGTTTCACGGTGGTTGTTTCTGTAGCGTTAGCCTGCAGCTGTCTGGAGGTCGAATCAAATCAGCTCCAGTCTTGTAGGAGCCTATAGTTTGATCTCTAACCCTCCATCACACATTAACACACTCCAACCCATATGAACATGTGCTGTTTTGTCTCTCTGTCTTCCTTTGCTTCGCTTCATGCGGCAGGTCTACGAGGTAAGGCTGGTACGCTGGGTGAAATCAAAGCTGCCTCACCCCGTGCACTTCTTCTAGGTTACTAACTTCAGTTCCTTTTCCTCCTGCTGTAGTACCTGTCCTCTCCTTTCCAACACTGCTTCTCCCTGAAAATTAATAAAACAAAAAAACTGCTCTTATGATACTTGACACACAGCTCTGGAAAAATGCTTCTTTGAAATGAGCTCTGCAAAGATGAACAGACACACTTTTAACTGTTCTGATGGCTGATTCATCTTTTCAGAAATGTTTTAACATCAATTTAAACACACAGCTGTGTCTTTTAGTCATCCAAATATATGAGTTCAAATTTGTCCCCTAAAGGACTCCGTACACTGCCATCTGCTTCCCTACAAATAGTTTTCTTTCCACATATTTGTAATTTTTTATCTAGGAAAATCAAAACAATGAGCACTGAGAGTACAGATCAGTAGCTTTACATTAAACCTTTTCTTAAAAACATAATTCAACACACTGCATACACTCACTCAGTGTTTGTCTTCAGAGCTGAGCTCAGGTTCATAAGACAGTCTACCCATAATTCCCTTTTTTCTCCCTCACTTGCACTTTTTAGCAGCTGCTTCTCTTCACTTTCCCGGCACTCTCCTCCTCTTCCTCCACTTCCTCTTCCTCTTCCTCCTCCTCGTCTCCCTCTCAGTGTTTTCGGGATGACGTCCCTGCTCACTCTCTCTCTCTCTCTCTCTCTCTTTGTGTCTGTTGTTTTGTCCTGCAGCTGAGGAGCTCCTTCAAACAAGCGTTCAGCAAGAAGAAGTCTCCCAAGTCGGCCTCGTCTCACTCTGACATCGAGGAGATGACCGACTCGTCGCTGCCGTCGTCGCCCAAACTGCCTCACAACGGCTCTGCGGCCTCCAGCCACATGCTCAGGAACACACACTCCAACTCTCTGTACGTAAACACAAATAACTGTATGTGATTGCAGGACAATAAGGGATATGCAGTAGTTTTTCCCATTCAAAAACGTTTTTTACTATAGATTACAGTTAGGAAAACAACCGAACTCTTTGATGCCACTAAACCATGTTTTCTTGCTCGTGTGTGTACAGGTTGTCCGAGTGTTTGGACAGCGAGGCGGAGACGGTGATGCAGCTGCGCAGTGAGCTCAGGGAGAAGGAGATGAAGCTCACGGATATCCGGCTTGAGGCTCTCAGCTCCGCCCATCAGCTGGACCAGCTCAGGGAGGCCATGAACCGCATGCAGGTCAGCACACACACAAAATACACACAAAATAGCAGAAAAGTGCTCAAACTAGGATAAATATCGGAGATGCTTTTGAAAATTGAGAGAGGATAGAACGCACAAAGGTTTCAAGACAGATGCAGGAGCTGGCTAAACACTGAAGCTTCAGTGTCCATGACAACCCGCTCAACTCAAGGGAGGAGGGGACAGAGGTGGACAGCTCTCTCCAATGTTTTGAATTTGGACTGTAGTACCCATTTTAAACACTAGGTGTCAGAGTTACATATTGCTCATTTAAGTTGACTCGTATGACTTGTATGAAAAATGTGTTTTTGTTTGTGTGTCTGCAGCTGGAGATCGAGAAGCTGAAGTCAGAGAATGACCGTCTGAAGGTGGAGAATCATGGCAGCAGGATGGGCTCCCAGGCCTCCATCTCCTCCTCTCCTCCTCCTCACGCACACAGCCAGGCCCAGGGGAGCGGGCCGGCTCTCACCCAGCACAGCCTCAACCTGACCACTAGTGAGTCCACCAGCCTGGGTAAGACTGAGCTCTTTGTCATGGACACTGACTAAAATGTTCTCATTAAAGGGTATCTGTTCAGTGCAGGTATTTCAATAGTCTGTCACAATATTGGATGACATCAGTGTCATCGGTTTATCTTGGTAATTGAAAATGAGAAATGGGAAATTACAACAAGCCTTGTCTGACTTTGTTCCACCGTTCCTATCAGACATGCTGCTGGACGACACCGGGGGAGAAGGAGGGATGAGGAAGGAGGGCAGACACGTGAAGATGGTCGTCAGTCTGGACGAGGGCAGCAAGTGGGGAGAGGTGAGACCTGTTTGGAAAAGTAACTCAAAATACTATCATTCCTTTTTTTCAGCATCTAAAACAACTTGTGTTTCCTCAATCATAGGAGGGTCGGACTCGTCATTTTCTGATTGGTTGCATCGGTGTGAGCGGTAAAACCAAGTGGGACGTCCTGGATGGAGTGGTCCGACGCCTTTTCAAGGTAAACACCTCACCGTCAGTGTTTATTTTTTAATATTTAGTTAAGTGTCCGAATGATAAGTATACATTTAAAGTTTGAATCTCAAAAATCACTATTTCTACTACTTTATTCAGTCGCCATGAAGCCTAATTTAAAAGCAGAAAAATACATTTAGATTCCTTCAATAAATATCTGAAATTCATCCTTTTGATGCCGTGTTTGTGTCTGACAGGAGTACATCACCCATGTGGACCCCCTCAGTCAGCTGGGCCTGAGTTCAGACAGCGTGGAGGGATACAACATCGGAGAAATCCATCGACCCAGCTGCCTTAGCGCCGCCCAGACGCCCGAGCTACTGCCCTGCGGCTACCTGGTGGGAGACAGCAACACCATCAACATCCAGCTCAAAGGTACGGGTTGTTACACTTTTCTGCCAGTATGTAAGAAGTTTTGGGCTATTTCTTTAACTAAAGTAAGGTTTCTAATTAATGTAATTTTTGATTCCTTTATTGAATTGTTTCATTAGATGCAGCTTTAACACAAGAAGGTCAACAGTTAGCTTATCATCAGTAGGCAGCAGTACTTGTCTCAGTTGGAAAGAACCACTAATACAAAAGAGGTATGATGTTAAGGGTATATTAATCCTCCGACCCTTTGTGTCCAGGCGTGAGCACTGCGAACGTGGACTCTCTGGTGTTCGACACTCTGATCCCGAAGCCGATGCTGCAGCGCTACGTCTCCCTGCTGAAGGAGCACCGACGCGTCATCCTGTCGGGCCCCAGCGGCACAGGAAAGACCTACTTGGCCAATCAGCTGTCTCGACACCTGCTGCTCCTTGAGGGCCGGCCTCTGACCCCGCACGCTGTCGTCACGTTCAATGTGGACCACAAGTCCAGCAAGGTAAATATGCACACCTGTATTTTTAAATGTTTGTGTTTGTTAAAACTTCTCTTGTTGTTGAATTCACAATACGCTCTTGGGGCTCAAGTTGCAGATAATATTCATATGTTTGTCGTTTTTGTGAAAGGTTTCCAGTAAAAAAACAAAAAAGCCCCGGTTCTGTTCTGAAAGAAGATACATTATTATTCTCTCCGTTTGTCTGCAGGAGTTGCGTCAGTACCTCTCCGGTCTGGCTGAGCAGTGCAGCGGCGTCCCGGGGACAGAGAGCCCTCTAGTGGTCATTCTGGACAACCTGCATCATGTCAGCTCCCTGGGAGAGATCTTCAACGGCGTCTTCAACTGCACCTACCAGCACTGGTCAGTCCACACACACACACACACATAAAGAATCACACACACTCACACATTCATCTGCATAATAATGATAGAAATATAAATGTCTGAAAGAGTCTGCATGATTGAAAGGAAGCATATTTGTTGAAGCAACGTATGTCTAGTTCACCAGAAAAATGATTTGCTCTCCTAATGATGCTAAAATCCAATTTGTCTCATGATGCCTATTTAGAAATAATAATAATCAGTGTTCTTCTCTCCTTTCAGCCCGTATATAATCGGCACCATGAGCCAAGCGACGTCATCTGCCCCCAACCTGCAGCTCCACCACAACTTCAGGTACACTGCTGCTGCTGCTGCTGCTGCTGCTGCTGCCTCCGTTCATCTCAGCTCGGTGCTGCGTTTCATCCTGGGGGAGATGTTAATGTACTGTTTGTTCTATGATCAGGTGGGTGCTGTGTGCAACCACATGGAGCCCGTGAAAGGTTTCCTGGGTCGATACCTGAGGAGGAAGCTGATCGAGACGGAGATCGGCAGCCGGACGCGCAACATGGAGCTGGTGAAGATCATCGACTGGATCCCGCGAGTTTGGCACCACCTGAACCGCTTCCTGGAGACGCACAGCTCCTCTGACGTCACCATCGGTATGAGACTGATGCAAGACTTATGGGCGAAGAAAAAGTGTGAAAACAATCAGTGGCTCACCTCTGCTGCTCTCTCCCACACAGGACCTCGTCTCTTTCTGTCCTGTCCCATGGACGTGGAGGGATCTAGAGTTTGGTTCACCGACCTCTGGAACTACTCCATCATCCCGTACATGCTGGAGGCTGTCCGAGAGGGACTGCAGGTAACACTAACACACACACACACACACACACACACACACACACACACACACACACAACAAAGCTGTAACAATCCAGCGTATCTATGATGCGTCTTGATTTGGGCCCGCTCTTTAAAGGATCCAGCTGAGTGCAGCAGAGGGGGGTAATGAGTCTGGGAATTGCTCAGATTTGCCCTCTCAGAAGATCAGGGTTATGTTCATCAAAGTGAAATGGATTCAATTTGTTCCCTCAATCTGAACATAATTAGCATCTCATTTAATTAGGCAGCAGCTAATCAGCAGAGCGCAGCCTCCGAGAAGGACTGAAGGGAGGGACTGTGTTTCCTGTTAGCTTGGAGGGGAAACAGAGGTGGAGTGATGCTGAAATGGAAACCCTTAGGGCTGCGAATAACCGTGTGTGAATCCTCCAGTTATTAGCCAATTCTTTTTTATGACCGATTAATACATTGTGAGGGCACTCAGTCTTTCTACTCAGTGAGATTGGTGAGAGAATCATCCCACTGCAGTCAAGTGTGTGTGACCGATTGGCTTTGACTAAACCCAAGTGTGGGGAGCCTCATTATCTCACCTTCAGAGGTAGTGAGCGCTTCTCCCTGGGGTTCCTCTAGTTGTCTGTGTGTGTGAAGTCTGTACAAATGCAAACAAAGAATTTTCTGTGTTTTAGCTATCCATTCCCAGTTTCAGACTTGGGGTGCTGGGTAGTTTTGTTGCTATACCAGATTTTTGTTTTAACTGTTAAGGCCTCATTGGCAGCCTTTGTTTTTTTTAAAAAGTGTTTTCTGGGTTTCCCCGGACAATTTAGGTTTAGTTAATTATTTTCCATGCATTATTTAGTTTAGGAAGCGTGTTTTGGCTCTGTACCAGTGGTTCTCAGGACGCACTGGCAATACCTCCATGAGAAAACCGACCCAAACTTCTGAACTGATCAGATCTCTTCGATGAAAAATTGTGCAGTTTGGATCTCGGACGGTACAAAACATGATGCAAGAAACTGAACAAAACCAACACATTTAGAAAGCGCTTCACAGATATTTTGACACTTTCACGACCCACTGAAAACAGCTCTACGCGACCCACTTTTGGGTCCCGACCCACCAGTTGAGAACCACTGCTCTGTCTTTTCCCCTCTCCAATCTATTGCTCACGATTTTTGTGGCTATCCTTCTGGGATAACTTTGAGACCCCCTCCATAAAAGTCCATGAAATGTAAAAACACTGAGAAATGATCATCCAGATTTAAAATTTCTTGATTTCATTTTTTTTTTTTTTTTGATATTACAAGCAGGAAAGCGTCGCCCTTAAGGACAAAAGCAGCAAATGTGTTTTGGATAGCCTAGTGGTTATGTTGCGCACCCCATGTACAGTGGCTATAGTCCTTGTTGAAGTGGCCTTGGGTTCGAATCCGACCTCAGACATTTGCAGCATGTCATCCCCCACTCTCTCCTCCCAACATTTCTTTTTTATTCTCTTCCTGACCTGTGAAAACTTGTTATTAGAGCACATCTCCACACAAAGCTGGCCTTCAGTTTCCCCGCCACACTAACAGTCTCACATCTTCTGTGTCTCTCTCTGCAGCTGTATGGCCGCAGGGCTGCGTGGGAGGACCCTGCTGCCTGGGTGATCGACACTTACCCGTGGTCGGCCGCGCCAACACCTTCTGAATGGCCCCCGCTGCTGCAGCTCCGCCCAGAGGACGTGGGGTTCGATGGTTACTCTGCTCCAAGGGAAGGGCTCAGGAAAGAGCCCCCGCAGAGCGACAGCGACGCAGACCCGCTGGTGAGGAAAAATACCTGTGAAGAAAAAGAGTGTGACGGCCTTCGAAGAGAAACGGGTTTGAAAGCTCGGTCGGACTGACACTTGTTGTTTTTTTTTTGTCCACAGATGAACATGTTGATGCGTCTGAAGGAGGCGGCTACGTCGTCGAGCCCGCAGAGCTACGACAGCGACTCCAACAGCAACAGCCACCAGGACGACATCCTGGACTCGTCGCTGGAGTCGACCTTGTGATGTCACAACGCTACACTGGGATCCGTTTTCGGGAGGAAACTTTATCAGAAGAACTGTCTCTGCTGTGAGAATTTCACAAAATCCAGCCAACCTTAATTTTGGGTGCAGGTAACCCAAATATTTAATAAGGGGAAAAAAACAGACAAAAGGAAAGATTTTACTGCACTGGGCTGCATTTTTTTTTTTCTTCACCGCTGTGGCCCGTGGCTCCTCATTTGTCAGGAGCCTGACTTCTACTTCAGAATTTAAAGCACACAGCCTGTCGCTGTCAGTGAGCATCATCATCATCATCATCATCATCATCAGCAAACACCAGCCAGGAGTCCTCCAACCTCCCTTGAGTGCAGTGCACCCGAGCTGCCTGCAGATGGCGACACAGAGCCTTCTCGCTGCTGAGAACACAAATCAGGCTGCTGCTGGGGGGTTGGATGGATGGATCAACACTCAGCTGCTTTCTGCTCCTCCTCAGCCTGAAGTTATCTGTGACGCTCCTGGAGGGTAAACCGAGCCAAAGTGAATGTTGAGTCCTGCAGCATTTCTATTCACACTTTGAGAACCTCGACAAAGAGATCACAGCTCTCGATGCTGTTTGGTTTGATGTCACTCAGATCCGAACTATACATCCCATGCCGAGTTTCTGAGCTGAAAAAAACCTTAGAAGTAATGGTCAGCGACGGAGGTACGCGTCCACGGAGAGTAAATACAAGAGCAGGAATAATAAATAATGCATACCAAATACATGAAATATCTTTATTCAAAAGAGAACTGGGACACATTTGTTTTTGTTTGCAACCAAACAAGAAGAAGTCAAAGAGCAAACTTTGTGCATTGCAAGTGATTCATGTTTTGTTGAATTTTAAATGAAAACACGGATTACAAATTTTTAGACATGTGATACATTTGAAAATCACAGAAATAATCATTTAAAGTTTTTTTTCCTCGTGGTTAACCTGAACATTGTGTCGCCTCTTTCTTGGTTAAAGTGACAATTTTCATGATCTATGGCAATAATGGCAACATTTCAGATTCAAAAGCCAATCCGAACACAAATTAAACTTTCAGATTTTCAAAGAAAAGTTTTTTTTGTTGCAAGTGCATTCAGTTTTGCTCTATAAACCAGTCGGTGTGGTCGCATAATAATTTGTGCAAAAGAAGCCTCATAAAAGAGTGAGGGGGGGGAATGCAATTCCATAATGTAAACATGTAAACAACGACAGTTAAGCAACACATTCAATGCCAAAATTGGTGTAAATATCTGAAAGCTAAGGAGAATCTTTGTATCTGGTTGGTCAAAAATGTGCTCCACACTCCCTCCTGACACTCTGTAGGAGTTCGATCCTGCCTCAGAGCTCAGAAGGTGCTGTGAAAAAAAGCAGAATGACACAAATTGCAAAAAGTTCAGCTGTAGACCCAAGCACAAGTCACACCTGCTGAAAATAAAGAAAGTGTTTCTCATCTGGTACAACATCTGTAGCTCTTTCAAAGGCCAGGCAACGATGAAACGGCCTTGACTCAGATTGAAACATTCACAATGGCTGGATTTATCCTTTGACTCTGTTGATCTTTGACTCTCAGATGTCTTTTCTGTCTCCACCACATCGCTTTGACCGCTTAATAAACCTTTGTGGTCGCCACGCACATTTGGCCCAAACAGGCTGTTGTAGCACAAATATTTAATGGTGCTGGACTGATTTTTCTTCTTTCTTTTTTTTTAAACAATGCCTTACTCTTTTCTAACAGACTATGTGCATTACGCTGATTCTTTATTCGTCTAAGTGGCTGTAAACTAAACAGGGCTGCGAGGTCGACTCTCTCTCTAGGAGCGCCGTCGACCTCTCATCATATCAAACACCGACGCCGTGGGCTTGGGACGCGAATGAGAAGCAGTACTTTGTTTTTTAATATTAAGTTGTATGCATGAATGACCCAGTGCTGTGAAGCTGGTGTAAATATTTGGACCACTAGAGAGGAAGACAGAAAAGATATATATGTGATGTGTTTTGATGCTTGAGATGAGAATATTTGACTGATGAGGGAAGATTAAAAACGTGTTGATTTTATACCTCATCCCCATTCTGTACTGTGCTTTGCTCAGAGTCTCTTTTGATTATGTGATTTGTGAGGAACAAAATGTCATAAATTGGACTAATTAAGTGAAAACTAGCGTACATGCTGCTTTGTGTATATTCCTATAATTAAGGTATGGAGGTACATGTGGTTGACTGATAATGTAAAAGGGTTCAAAGTCATTTCTGTGGCTTAAAAAAGAAAGAAAACAGACTTTTTCTTTGTTTTAAAGCTCCCAGCTTGCCCTTCAGGAACGGTGAGCTCAAGTTTAAAGCCAGGGTGGGTCATACATTGCTTCAGTGTTTTTGTCACAGATCCTATGCAACATTCATTCTGATCCCCAAAAGGAAGCCAAAAGCTGCATGTGCGTTTGTCCAGCACTGCCGAGATGTACAGCAAGGATCCAGATTTGTGCAGACTTAATTTGAATTTGTCGTCCATTCATGTGTCTGTGTGTTTTATTTTCTCGAGGTTTTCCTGCTGCGGTCCTTGTAAGCACAAAGAGACTGAATCTGCTGTCAGCCTCGTGTAACGCCTGCTCTCAGACGAGCGGGTGTCTTTGAAGCATTTGAAACTGTGTGTCAGTTTATTACTCACAAACTCAATGAATGTTTAGCCTTCTTTGCTATGTACATTTTTGATATGTAACATAACTTTGTATATAGTTGATTATCTTGGAACATTTGATGACTTTTTTCTAGCTGATTTGTAACAGTACTTGAAAAAAGAGTATTTTGTGTACAGTCTCTTTACATCAGAGCAGATCGGTGCCGTTTGTCACACCTGGTCTGTCCAGGGCTCGTTGAATTAAATCTATCACTGTACTAGTCTTAAGTTATTGTGATTCAATAAAATTAATAATTATTTATGAATGAATTCAGTCGAACTGTCGTCTTTGAAACAACACAAGCACAATGGAATTGCAATTGTTCACAATTTATTTGGTATTTGTACAAAAAGTGTGGAATAGACATATATACAGCACATGATACAACAAACAAATTCATATAAATTATTAACGAAATAACTACATCTTTCCAATAAACAACTCTATTCAAGGTCAAGGTAAAAGTAACTCAATAATCTTGGCATAAAATTTCCATACAAAGTTGTACAAAATACTGTACAATAGAACAAAGCTGTGCAAAACAGCAAACTGTGTCTCAGAAACAGAGCCTGTACAGTGCGCATGCGCAGATGAAGTGACAAAGTGGAGTCGAACATTTTGTTTTGTTTTGTTTTTTTACAGACATTTATGTGTTCTTGTTTGAGGCCGGCAGTTTCATACAAACCGGTTCACAGTCTCTTATGAGTTATTTAATCTTTATATTCCCTTTTTAAAATAAATTAAGATACTGTTATTTCTTCTTCGTCTGACTCTGAGAAGTCCGAGTGCTTACTGGAAAGAGATGGAGAGCTGATGCTAGACCCTGCCGCCCTCATTCTCTCTCTTCCAAACTGTTCCATCTCCTCCTCCTCATCATCCTCGGCTGAGGACTTCTTGCCAACGTCACTGAGGTCCGGATGCGGATTGGCTTTGGTGGGCAGAGTCTGCTCCCGGCAGCCACCTGAGGACAGCAGCTCTCGTTCCTTTGAGTTCCTCCACTTCATCCGTCGGTTCTGGAACCAGATTTTCACCTGAAGAGGAACAGAAAATGATTAGGGAAAAAGCTCTGTGTAAGGAATGCGTTAAAGCGCTTTTACGCACGAATTTATTGGCCACTTGAAACCCCCACGTGAACACTTCAGAAGTTTTACCTGAGAGTCTTTGAGTCCCAGTTTGGTGGCGAGTTTCTTTCTGTCGGGCTTGCTGATGTATTTCTGTTTCTGGAACATTTTCTCCAAAGCTTTGCGCTGCACATCTGAGAACACAGCCCTCCTCAGCATCCCTCTGCGGGGTTTCCCTCTGGCTGCCAGGGGCCACGAAAAAGTCCCGGGGATGGGAACAACGGATGAAGACACTACAACACAAAAACAGAAGAGAAATACACGTTAGCTTGGTTTTATTTACCAAACAGTAAGTCAAAACAAATCATCCCTAAAACCACTCTGCAGCCACAAATGACCAACTTAAAGATGGAAAACAGCAGGTTTTCTTTCTACTTCACAAACCTAAAAGCTGTCAGACTTCATAGAGGCTCTATATGAATATAATGATTTCTCTTTAAGGCCTTAGTTTTCAGTCGTTAGTATTGGAAGTTTCCCCCCTTTGGAACTTTGGCAATACGTCTCCGTTTTGAGTGAAATGGCACGAGGTGACTAATTAGCACATTGGCCGTTCCCCAACCGCATTGGTATGGTAAAGAGGTAGCATATCCTTTAAGGAACCCTGTGAGGGCGGATAGAGGAGTTAATAAACCGTGAACAGTAATTGTGTAGTAATGAACTAACGCAGAAAAGACTCTGGACAGGCGGCGAAGGCCATATATTATCGCAACAAAAGGAGATTTACACTTTCAAACTAAACACAACTGCATACCAGAATACTGATGCCCCAGAGGGGGGGGAGAGAGAGAGAAGTGGAGGGATTTTTTTTTTCTTCTTCTTCTTCGTGCCTTCAAATCATTTTCATTAAATGAACACGAAAAGCTATTCAGAGCGCTGGAGTTGTTTTGTTGAGGCATTCAGCTGAGCCCATGAAAAGACTCCATCTCCATTATGATTTGGCTGAATGAAAGCACGGAGTAGCGACTTTATAGACTTTTCTAAGAGATTATTCTTTATCTGAACTGGTTGATTGGCGCGCTTGGAGAATAGAGGAACGTTTAGGGCACAGAGAGACTGGGGATTGGGGGGGGGGTCAGTGGTAACCTATCCGATGAGCAACGCAGCCTGCAGGGGAAACTTTCACCAGCTGGGATAGTTTGGACGAATTTGGTGCTTCGCTTTACTTCAAAATCCCACCTCCCAAAACTCTCCCCTCTCTGCGAATTGCTGCCTGGACTTCCTCCTGACTGTAGGTGCCCTGTGGCCACAGCAGAATCAGGAACAACGACGCGCTATGTGGTCTTGTGAGAATATTGAAAACTCTCAATAGCGCCTAATAGGGAAATTAGTGCATGACTGGTTCACGCCTTTGGCCCCCCTGGTAAAAGTCACTCTCCGGGGTGTGTGGGTGGTTTGCCCGGTGGGAGCTGACCAAATTGGTCACAGTGCTGAAGGGCATTGTTGCCCACCACTGCGGCCCGGTGGCCCCCCGGGCTCTGTGGGAAAACGCAGTGCCGGGGAAATGCCAAAACGCCCCCCAATGGGAAACAGGGGGGACTATAACTCGCCACCCCGCCTCAAATTTAGAGCGTGACGATTTGGGATAATTGGTTAATTAGGGGGTGGGTGGGTGGGACCGGGAAGAGGCCAGAGCCAACAGTCTCCATTAATGAGACAGTGATTTCTTGTTTTCAGGTTGAAAAAAAAAATCTATGACAGGAGCTGAATGTGTTTTACATTTTGATGACACTTAGTTCAGACACTTTGAGCCCACAGAAAGATGGATAGGCATAACAGGGGACGTGCATAAAAGTGGTGCCTACCTGGTAAATAAGGCGTCCTGAAGATGGGGTGAAAGGTTCCATCAAAGCAGGGGAAGGGGAAAGTCTTGGAATGCAGGCTGTGGATTGTAGCGGGAGAGGACGCTGTGGAGGAACATCACAACATGTTAAAAACAAGAATTCCTGAATGATGGAATAATATTAACAATCTGTCCGAATGTAGAAACACAGCAGAGCGCGTTTACTCACATGTCTTTGGTGAAGGTGCAAGGATCGCGCTGACTCCAAACTTGAGAAAAGTCGGGTCCTTGCTGCTCGGCAGTGACGTTTTGGGCGAGCACGAGTCGCGCGTCATCGCAGTTGTGGCCACGGCGCGCTCCGCGGGCACGCCGCAGTAGGACAAGGTGGTGGTGGCTGTGGGCAGGGTGGCGCTCACTGATGGGACAGTCCGGTTTATGAAGGCGGCGGGGCGGCTTATCCGCAGCAGGTCCTCAACGAGGAAGCTGGAGTGGGAGGGGAAGACAGACGGCAGGGTCTGGTGCAGCGGCAGAGCGGCGGGCCGGTACAGCCCCGGGTACAGCGCTGGTGGCGCGAGGACGCTTGGGATCATCATAGTCCCGGTTGGAAAAAGTCAGTGAAGGAAAGCTGAGATACTCCTGGTGGTCGCTGGGAGAATCAGTCGTGTGAATGGCTGCTAACTCCTCTGGTCTCCTCACTCAGGGGAGAGGAGTTTTATAGCAGTCGGCCCCCCCTCGACCCTCCGCTCAGCGCTGACAGCCTCAACAATGGGGCTCAACAAAGTTCTCCACATGGGTCGCTTTCATGCAGCATCCCCCGGCTCGCTGATTGGCCAGAGGACGCAATTTATGATTGCATTAGACTTCATAAGCAAGCAACACACAATGTGACGACCACAAAAGGGGCTCAGTCATCAATTTTGCATGTTGACCACTTTCCTTTCAGTTTGTTTTGTTTGGCAGAGGCAAGCTGCCTAATTAAAGAGCAATCTTTACACATTCACTCATTATATGGGAATTTTAATGAGCCCTTAGAAAAGGATACTTTATTCCTTTCCATTCAGGGTGTCTTTCTGTTACTCGGGATATCAAAATATACTCGTTAAAGATGCAAAATTATTCTTTTATTCAAGTTTCAGTGCTGCAAATACAAACAGCTACAGGTGGATAAAAGTAAGCAGGAGTCTATCCCAGGATATGAATAGAATATATAATAGTACATTGATTTATAGTATCTTTTTTATTGTGAATGGTCTCTTCTTTAGGTGCAGACGCTGCACAGCATCTCAAATGTAAATCACTTTTAGGGTTTCATAGGATTCTCAACACTCAATCTGGCCCTCGTCATGGAATAATGTCTTAAAGGGATTTCTGCTATCAAAACGCTTTAACAGATGTGTTAAATATCACTCTTTCTGCACAGGCTTCATTCAGCGCGCAGAGCGGCGGCGCAGTGCGCAAAGGAGAAGTGTGCGGCCTGAGCCGTGCGCTCCTGATCCTGTTAACCATGAACTAACTGTCACCCTCAGCTGCGGAGGAGGCGCCCCTCGGCCTTTCTCTGCTTCCCTCTCCCCGCTTTTTTAAAAAAAGCCCAGAGGAATAAAAAAAGCTTTATTTCTAAAGACGGTTTTGTTCTGCTATTTTAACCGGCTGAATAAAAGTGCATCTGTGATTTGATTTAAAACGCATTCATATGAGCGGACACTGAGACCCCTTATAAAACTCGTATTAAAGCGACTTGGAGCCTGATAGTCGTGTTCTGTCAGCTTTACCTTCTGAAAACCAGTTAAAGCAGAGCGATCAGAAGAAAATGCACTGAAGAAAAAAAAGAGCAAAAAAAAACTCCTAATTGTTGCCTGTTTGAAACCTAATTAAATAAGAAACACAGAGAAACAATTACACAAAGTTTGATGGACAATTTAAATCAAACAAAAACATGTTAGTTTTTCTTTGATATTTTATAATTGAATTTGTGTTTTACGGTGACTTTGGTTGATTTGTTATCCCACTTTTTGCCTTTGACTGTCATGTTCTATTATTTTAAATGAAATCCCGGCCATTGGGATCCTGTCTTGAATATGATTTTTTAATTTAACGTCTTTCTTTTACCAAAATAAACTTTATAATCATGCAAGGACTCAAGGTGAGTCTGTGCGCAACATTTTTCTTATTACTTATAATAATGTATTTTACCTAAATCAGATAATTAGCTGATAATTTAAGGCAATATGGATAAAAACTACATGTCAAATTTGTGTATGAGTAGCCCAAATAATAAAAACTATGAAGAGGAAAGGCTGAGTGTTATTGAATACTTTGCGTAAACAAAACTTTGTTTCTGATTTTAAGACCACTGTTCTGCTCACATTCGCTTCACTTGACTGCGTCTGCTTATTGCACAGCACGACATTTGAGTCAGTTTGCATCATTTGGAATCAGCCTAAATGATGATAAGTGAGTCAACATCAATCTAAGATAAAGTGGCCACAATCCGATAATTAAAAGGGAACGCCTCCGTGAAATGATCCTTTGCAGAGAGTCGACGCTTATCAGAGGTGCGGTGCGCTTTATGGTTCGCACAGACGCACAAACAAGCGTTAACACAGCGCGCTCCGTCACCACAGCTACACCTCCAAATAAGTAACAAGACCTTCAAAGCTTTTTTTTATTAGCCCCATATTCCTTTACTTGGCTGCCCGAAATCCTCCTTTTGTGCGCGCTAAGCAGATGGTTAGCAGGAAGCATAGGCTGCTCTGGCTGACCGAGACTAATTTCTACGAGCTTTGCAAGCTTGCCACGTCCCCGCTCCTTTACCAGGCCGAGTAAAAACAGCTGGCTGCGGCTGAATTAAGACCATTAAAAGCACATCTCTGAAATATTACCACCAACAACACCCCCACCCCCTCTCCTCCCCCTGTAAGAGCCCACTAAAGTCCCATCATTTTAAAATAACTGTCCTGTGGGATTCAAGGACGCATGTTCAAGTTCTCATGGCTTTATGGGAAAATTTGTAGTTTCTTTAAGCCTCTTTTTTTTTTAACATTACTTCAAATAACATTCGCTATTGTACAAGTGGTACGTGTTCATAAGTGTACAGTGGTATCAAATAGATCTAGTTTAGTTTTTCATGAGCCCAAAAAAAAATCATTTATTTAGAAACAAAATGTGGTATTTAAATGATAATTATAAACCTTATTTGTGTAGAAACATCTATAATGCAAAAAAAAAAAAGAATAAGAAGAGACAAAGAACACGTTTTATAGTATCGCTATAATATTCATATTGGCACCCCCTCATTATGTTTATGTTGACGTATGGTTTCTAATATCCCCAGAGGGCTTTTTCCTTCTGATGTTTATCACTTCACTTTCAGAGGATTACTCATATTCATCACTTATGATTTAATAACTCTGTGGGGAATACCATGAAGATGATCGTCTTCACACGTATTAAATAAAATAATAAATGTACATTTTCCAGGTATTATCAGCAAACTTGTTTGAAGAAAATTGCCAACAACTCAAAAATTAAGGGAACTGCCAATGGCACACATGCTCCTCAATACGTTTTTACGCGCAGTTGATGACGTTTTATGAATTTATTTTGATCCTGAAAGTCGCCTGGTTTATGCACAAAAGATGCAGCCATACTCATTTGTTTTAGCCATAGTCTTTCCATAAGATAACTAATTAAAATGATATTTTTTTGGTATATTTTGGAGTCGTTTCGGTGTATCTTTGAGGGGAAACTATCAGATCGTTATCCCTCTTCTGACAGGGCCATGCCATTTTTACCAACCAGATGAACTTAACCATTGTCTCTGCTCTCTTTCTGCTTCGTTAAGTGAAAGGGGCTGAGTAAATATGTTACCCATGCATGAGGGGCTCTGTATGGGCCGGCCCATTGTGCGCAGGGTCCGACAGGTGGTTAACTGTTTATTATTCCCTCATTATTTATCGGTGACGTGGACGCACCGAGGAAAAGGGGAAACTCCCCATCTTTTCACTGGACCGGGGATGAACAGATTGTGCTGACTGGTTGCAGCCTCGTATATGACACCGGTCACCAGTCCATCCATCTCAGCCCTGCAGCCTTTCAGGGCCTGCATCCACCTCCTCCTGGGTTTGCCAAATTGAACGATTCAGTTAACACCTTCCTTTTTTTTTCCTCAAATCAAGATTTAGTCAATTTTCTGCCGCAGTGCATGTTAGCCAAACACGACCAGACAGGAATTCAAAATATCCTTGCAAAACTGTAACTCAGTTGGTGTATTGATTTTCTATCAGTGCCACAAGTTAACAGACAAAGACAGATTGAGCCATAGCATGCTATTACAACACTTGAAAACCATTTAAATGTTGGTAAAAAAAAAAAACATGGCTCAAAGGCTTTTAAAAATGTGTTTTAAAGCAAATTAAGTTGTGTTTGAGTTCCATACACACATTTTATGATGAATATAAGAAAGCCTTCTTATCATGTTTTCCTTGTTTTAACTAATAATGGTGGAAAATATTTATTAGAGTGTGTTGATGTAGTTGTGTCACATTTGAAGTTTCTGGTTAACAATAATTTCAATTGAATTTGTATGTATGTATACACTCCATACAAAAATGTAGTTGAAAAAACCTCTTCCTCAACACACTAAAACAGCTGCTTTTATATCATTAAAGTATATAAATCCGGGAAGTCCCAAAAAGTGAAAGAAAATACATGTATTTTGTGCACAATATTTTTATTTTTTACTTCTCTGGACTTCAGGGGCTCCGTACTAGCTGATCTAAGTCTATAAACTATCAAATTAAAGCCAATATCTTACAAATAATCAGCCATGATCTCATTGTAAAAAAAAAAAAATGCCCTAAAAGCCTTATTAAAAAAAGACGTTACTTCATCTTGCTGTCTTGTCTTATACTTTAAAAGTGACTGAAAAGTGAGTTTCTGACTTCCTCTTATACCATCAGTGCATGCTTTCTGTTTGATTATTTTAGACTCTATCTCATCAAGTCTTTAAATGTCAAAGTTCATGTACCGCAGGCTTCAGATGAAGTTGAAATGGATTCTTGCTCCTGCCATCTGAAGTTAACCAAACATCTATTTCAGGGGATTCAGTTGGTGACCGGGCTTCCCCTCACGGTGGCTCCCACTCGGGGTGTTTTGGCCGCGGCTTCACCTCAGCTCGTCGGTGGCTCTAAAGGTCCCTACAGCATCTGGCTCAGGCGGCCCAGAAGCTCCCCCCCCCCCTCCCCGTTCAACACAAGAGGGAATTAGCAATGCCACAAGATTCAGAAGAGCGGTGACAAGCATTAAATCGATATTAACTTTGTATTAAACATGGGCCCCTCCCTTTTCCCCAAATGGACTGGAGCCATATCAGCGCACAAAGCGGTCTGTATGAACTCTGGCTGCACCTGTTCCCCTCTTACTCGGCCATGGGAGTTCAACTTCTTAGTTTCACCCCAGGCTCTTTTCTTCGTCTGCTTCACCCCACACTGAATTCTTTCACTCGAGCCTTACACATCTTCGTCCCCCCCACTAGTTTATACAACTCATCAAATCACATCATCATGCGTTTTACTTTGAAACATTCAGCCCAAACTGTGACACAAAAGTTCCACTTTCAACCACAGAAAGTTGCTCTTTCTTGTCCAGACTGGGCCACTTGCCTC